TGTAATAGTGGGGTACCTGGGTGGCTCAGTTAAGAGTCTGTCTTTGGCTCAGGTCATGATCTCAGGGTCCTGGGACTGAGCCCTGTGTCAGGCTCTCTGCTCAGTGGAGAGTCTGCTTCTCCCTCTCCCTCTGCCCCTCCTCCCACTCATGTTCGCTCTCCCTCTCTCTCAAATAAATAAAATCTTTAAAAAAAATATAATAGTAACTGTAACATCACCACAAGGGGCATTATCTCCCTGCTCCCCCATACCTGAATTTTGAAGTGATATGATGTGTATATAGTTCCAGATCCTGGAACCAAATTACTGTTTTGAATTTTGGCTTTGCCCCTTGCTGTGACTTCAGGCAACTTTCTTAACCTCTCTGATAATCTTTAATCAACAAAAAAAATGGAGATAATAATAGTATTTACCCAGTAGAGTTGTTGGGAGAAATAAATGAGCTTATTCAAATAAAATGTCAGATAGATAATATATTCACATAGTGTTAGCTACTGTCATCGTCTTTGTCATTATTAGTCATCAACTCCTCCTCTAGAATAGAAGCTTCTCAAAATCAGGCAGTTTGTTTCATTATCTTTGCTTCATCACCAGCACTGAAAACAGTGCCTGGTGTGCAGTAGGTTCTCAATAAGTACTTGTTGAAGAAATGAATCCTCACTATAACCCTGGGAGGTAGTGTTCTTACCTGCTTTTTACAGTTAAGGAAATGCAGGCTCATATAAGTTGAGTGCCTCAAGTCTTTTGACTCCCAAGTGCAATGAAGTTAAGATTGTTTTAATAATGTGGAAGTATGTCACTTCCTTATAAAATGTATTCTCTGGAAGAGTGCAATCATTTTTGGGGGTCAGAGATTTTTTTTTTTTCTTGGCAGAGTGGGTGTTCTATAGCTACACTGCACTTAAAACTAAATCTGAGTGGAAAAATGTTAAGGCATTTTAGGAAGTTAGGAAGCACAAAGAGTTTGACTCTTAGCAAGAAAAAGGTTTTGTTATGTTTGTCCATTAGATGGGACAAACTAAAGAGCTAGTACAGCAGTTCCTTGGAGTCTGAAAAATGGTATAGTCTATTGGCTAAGAGACCTATGTTTTCTCTGGTCATGGGCAAAACACATGTTCTTAGAAGCTGTTGTTTTCTAAGTCCTGAAAGTTCAGATTCCTTTCACTATATACAAATGATAGGAAATGTGCTAAGCCCTCAGGCTACAAGGGTAAAATTATATATATATGGAGAGCCTTGTCAGCAGATTCTTAGGCATTATGGGGAGCTCTGGGAAGAATAGAAAGACACAAATTAACTTTGACATGATGTATAGTGTATTTTTAAGATAGTGGAGATAGAGAGAAACCTTTCCAATTTGAATCACCGGTCAGTTAAAGTGTTCCTTGCCTAATTTTCTTTTTCAAAGAGAACAGAGTACAGTAGGGGAGGTGGGAGTAGATGTAGAAGAGATATGGCCCCATTCCAGCAAGTGTCTTTTGCATTTCATCTACATTCCTGTAGGTGCACTGTTTTGGAGGATTCCTATTCCTGAGTTCACTCTTCTGTCAAGTCAGGTGACCCATTAGGCCATTAGAAATAACTGAAAAATTGGAAACTTATGAATTAGTTTCTGTGATTCTCCCTTTTACTTGTTATGTAATATCAGTGGGTCTTTAAAAGGGAGGGAAAAGAAAGAGGAGGAGAGATGATCGGCCCAGGTGAATGGACTTGCCTTAGAGAAGGAAACCTGTGGAGCTCTCCATATGTGTCCTAGTAGGCAATGTAGTCTGATGAATAAGAGAAGTAGTAATTTCTGGACTTTATCTTCCTCTACTGTGGCTTGCTAAAGTCCTTCTGGAAGCATCCATATCCTTTGGAGTATTGTTCTCGATTTAATAGATAATCAGGCCTGGGGCTGCTGTCATGGTTTTATCATCTAGATCATGGTGACTTCTGTTAGGGCAGTGGCCAAGTGATGCCCCCAACTATAGCCTTTGAGCATCCTGGTCCTAGCCTTAACTTCAGGCCTTAACCTGTCCTAACTTAACTTAGGCTTTGGGAAAACAGGCCAGGGTTTGTTGGGCAAATGCATTGCTAAGCCTGCATTGTAAAATGGAATGGGTCCAGTTACCAGGCCTTTGGGGTTTGAGGACTTATCGCAGATCCAGAGTAAGTACACATAGCTTCTGAGGAAGGAACTCACTTTGTGCTTAGCTAGTTCAGATAGCCTGTTGTAGTGGCCCTTGGTAACAAAGCTTGTGGCCCTGGTTTCCATGACGCTGCATGCAGGCCAGTTTGGAAAAGGGTGACTGAAATCACCCAGTAGACTTTGTCCTTTAGTTTGATTAGCCAAACCAGGAATGGTCTAAACTAAAAGGAGGGGCCAGGCAATACAGGAGGTAAGGATTCTGGAAGCTAGGCTCTGTGAACTGCCCAGCTGTTCAGAGGACCTCTTCCTTCCTTCTTTGTTCCTTGAGATTTAGCTGGCATTTTCTTTGGGTTCCGTGCTATGGGACTGAATCTACTAACCTTTCTGCCCTTTTTTTCTGCTCTTTCTCTCCTTGCAGAAGGAAAGCGAGGAGCTGTTCAGGTTGTGCCTCTGGCCCTTTGGGCCTTTTTTGTTGTCTATTTTCAACCCTTCTCTCCTGAGCACGGTGTGCGTGTGTGTGCATGTGTGTGCATGCGTGCGCGCATGCACACATGTGTATGATCTGGCCTCTGAGCTTTGGCTCATGCAGATATTCTGTTTTTCCTGAAAGCAGTTTGTGGGCATGCTCCATTCTTGTGTGCAGACATCCCTGGAGCACAGTGTGAGAAATGTGTGTGCCAGCATGGTGCACATTCAATGTAGCATGTGTGTGCTTATACTCGTACTCAGTTTGGCTACCCCAAACACTGATTGCCCTCCTCTTCTACTTTGCACAGTGTTTGTCCATTTTTTGCTTGTTACTGCAGGTTGGCATATGCTGTAAACCCTTGCTGAGCCCAGCATGCATATACTTTGTATTTGGGAGCAGGAGTTGCTGTGGGCATTTTGTGCCTCTTGCCTGGGGTCCTAAGTATGAATGTGCTTTGTGCCTCTGAGCAGGTTTCTTGGTCTCTCTGTGAGCACAAGCTTCTGTAGACCTGTGATGTGGTTCCCCCATGCCATGTGAATGCACAGTATAACTAATGCTTTGTGCCTGTAAGCACTGGTTCTTGAAGACAGTGAGGGTTTGCTGTTGCCTGTGATTCCAGCCCTGGTGAACACTGAATCCTTCTTCAAATGGGTGTGCACACGTTTCGTCACCCTATGTGCAGGATCCATGATCACCTTGTGTTTCCCTCAGGCATAAGTTGTGTCTATGAATGTACCTGCTGTAGGTACTTTATCTAGACCTCTCACTCTCAGTCCTCCTTCAGTACCTCTGTGTGCATGCTCTATGCTTTGTCTGCAGGCTTTAGTAGATCCTTTGTCTCCTCTATATGTGTATGATCTGAGCTTGTTGAACCCTGGCTCCCAGAGACCTTTTGTGACTTTGTTTCCTTAAGGTCTGTGGTTTCTGGCAAACATCTAATTCTAGGTAGGAAATAAAAATCTGCTCAGTACAGTGACAATTTTCAAAGGGAAGATAAGTTCTGGGTGGTAGGATTTGGGGATTTAGGGATAGGGCTGCCCCTCAGAAGCAACCTTAGGAGATGTGTATCAACCACTTCTGGTTTCCTTTTGGGCTTGGCTGTCGTTTTGCTGGTATTATCCCACCCACAGAACCAGGACAAGAGCCAGATAAGGTGAAATGGGTTCATGAAGGGCTGTAGGCAATAGGCAGATAGGCTTGCTTAGAACACAGACAATCTGAGAAGGGTCTTTAGTCCAAAGTTCATATTGAGCCTACTGCTGACCCAGGGTAATTCTTATCCACTTTTACATCAGTCTATATACATAGCTGCCCTACCTCTCCCTATCTCTCCCTTTTCTACTTTGGCTTGTCTAATTTTACCTATAACTTCTCCCATCTGTGGCTCTCCCAAAACTTCACCCCCTGTACAAAGTTAAACACCTTACTTCTGCCTTCCCTACTTCAGAGTTCGTTTGTTCCAGGATAATTAGCTGGAGCCCAGGTATCAGGAGGCGTGAAAGTTTTGGGGGTGGAAGGGAACAAGGAAGGGGCAGGAAGCCCCAGACCTGCTAGCGCTAGGTTTATTGAGCCTCAGCAGCATTTACCGTTGGTTCTCTGGAGAGCCCTGGAAGCTTTGGAACTTTGCTCTGTACACTGCTTAAAGGATTTTTTTTCTGTGGGTTTGTTTGTTCATTCGTTTGTTTATGGAGAAACCTTTAAAAACTGTTCTCAAACTGTTTCTTCCTTGAATTATTTGGTACCTCAGTTTTCAATTTCTCATTATAGAGCTCATAAAGTCCACCAGAAGATAATTTAAGTATCTAATCTACCCTGGGTTCTTTTGTTATATATAGAGAGAGCTTATCAAATGTAGAGTGTCTATGAGTTAGAACTTTAAGTAACCTAAGCCAAGTCAAATCACAAGATGAGATGGGAATCCAGAAAGACCAAGTCACCACTCTGTGACAGCAAAGGGAACTTATGAATATAACTAGAAGACTCTATATGAAGTTGTCCTTTTTCTTAAGAGACCTGGAAGCCCCAAATGGACCCCCCTTTTTTTTTGTAAGCCTTGGCTTACTGTTATGTATACCAGTGGATTGTGTGAGGGGGATATAAGTTCTGGCACCTCTCACTCCCCAGTGAAACCTTAGCTTTGAGATCTCAGTGAGCTTGACTTTATATCCTTCCTATTCACTGGGGAGAAGGGAGACAAGGAAGTTCTCATTTCAGCAACCCTCTTGTTACTCTGGCTGATCAGAGCATTGGCTTAGACATCAGTCTGGCCATGTCACCACATTTTGTATGTAACCTACACTTTTCTGAGCTTCCTGCTTTACTACTCACTGCCTGACCAAAGAAAGATGGCTATCTCGCATCTTTTCTAGGATCTAACTTTTTTTCTATCTTTTTTTAAAGATTCCAGATGATGGTCACCCCTCTTTGCCCCAGTGGCTCCCGGAAGGGTAAGTGATTCCCTACAAGGTTTCCATGGATTTTATAGTCTCTCATGCGACTTCCAGGTTTTCCCCTGGGAAGCAGTAGAAAAAGCTCCATAAATTGGATCCTGGGAAAGAAGAGGCTCTACTATACGGATCGGTTGGTTCTCTGGGGAGAGGAGAGAACTCTGCAGACTGATTCCTCAGAGACAGAAGAGAGAGCTTTATAGAGTGGTTCCCCTGGAGCAGGGAAGGGAGACTTGGGGCTTCCCTATCCTTGCCTCTAGAATTTCTGATTCATTGCATCTTAGTAATGATCTACCCTTTAGGTAGAAGAAAGAGGAAACTAGAAAAATATCTGTGTTTGACACAGTTCTTTTTTATTCCATTGTTGATAGTGTAGTTGATTAGATTACTCTCTGGGTTCTGTCCTGAATTCAGCTGATGTGAGTCACTTACTTATTCCATTCCACTCTAGTCAAGACATAAGTAACATCCTTTATGAGCTCAGTGTGTTCTGTCTGTGCTTTCTTGTTTGAGAATCTCAGACCCATGTGACTGCAGCAGAGAGTCATTTTAAGCTGCTCAACTGCTGCCTATAACTGACTGTTCTTGAGAGGAAAGAGTTTAAGTGCCTCCCCCTCCTTCCTGGGGCACATGAACTGCCCATTATTTCTCAGGATCTTCTTTCTCTCCTTGTCCCATATAGGCCTGTTGACATGAGCGTTCCCCGTGGATGCCTCCTCTCCCTCATGACCAGGGAAGAAATAAGATCAGATCATAAAGTTATCTACTATATGTTTACATGCTCCTTTTCCTTGTAATTTGTCTTTCTTAAATCAAGAGTTGGTCATTTGAATGAACTATCCTTTTTTCTGTTGTCTGAAGCTCATTTATGTTGCAAAACCCTTAAGTGGTACATATTATAGTTTTTAGAATTAACCACAAACTTGTGGTACCAGTTGCTTTTTCTACAGACCTTCTTTGGGACTTTAGCTTTTTTCTTCTAATGGTTGTAAAATACATACATGACAATGGAACATAGCTAAGTTATTTGTATATTTAATTTTTTAAGCTATTTTTTTAAAAGATTTTATTTATTTATTCGACAGAGAGACACAGCGAGAGAGGGAACACAAGCAGTGGGAGCGGGAGAGGGAGAAGCAGGGAGCCCGATGCGGGGCTCGATCCCAGGACCCTGAGATCATGACCTGAGCCGAAGGCAGACACTTAACGACTGAGACACCCAGGCGCCCCTTTTAAGCTATTTTTAAGTGGGGCCATGCAGTGATTTTCTAAATGTCTCCCTGTTGTCTTTCCTTTAGCTTAGTCCTTGGAAGCTGGTACAGGTTTAGAACTTCCCTAGGTCTGGTAGTCTCATTGAAAGCAAAGTTCATTTCCTGTGTTTAGGAAGCTAGTTTATTAGAAATGAACATATCAGGTTGCCTGTTGCAACTCTTGGCCTTGATCTAGTTTGTGGCTCCATTTTTTGCCTATATAGCTAACTGGCAGTACCTACTTAATCTTCTGCAACATCTCTTTTTAGACCAGTCGTGGTGTACCACGCAACTACCTTATCACCTTTCCCATCTCCTTGTTTTCATTAAGGCCAAGTACATGAGTTCTTTTTATTGAGGCTCAGAATATCAGCTTCCAAAAGGTCAGAGAAATTTTGTAGTTCATTCCTTTATAGAATGGCATCAAGACCCAAAGAGAGGAAGTAATTTTGGCACAGGACATGTAGTGAATTAGTAGAAGAGTTGGGGATAAAATCCAGTTTATCTCATTGTGAGAATGGTGTTCTAGGATATTCTCTTTATTGTTATTGCATATGGTTATGGAAGAAATGGCAAAGAACAACAAAATTAATAAGCATATAAAAGGTATAAAAATTTTAGAAATCTCCAGTTGCTCCAGCTATAATTTTTTTTTCCTGGTCCCTGTTGATGTATCCATAGGCCTCGGCCAGACTTTCAGAGTCCGTCTGTTGTTTCCTTCCTGAATGGTCTTTTTTCCCCTCTAAGTGGCCTTTTGGAAATCTTCTATCCCACCTTTCCTGCCTCCACTTGGTTATGCAGACTCCTCTTTCCATGGAGACCCTTTTTCTTCAGGATGCTTGGATGGACAGAACTGGTGACTCTTTTACTCACGATAGAGAAGGTCATCTCCTAATGTCATTAGCAGTCTTGCTTAGGCAGCAGATCTTCTGTAGAGCCATTCCCATGGGCTCTGTTCTAGCATAGAACAGGAAACACTTATCTTAGGGGAGCAGTGTCTCTGGCCTGAGTGTAGGGAGAGGCCCTCTTAACTACCAATTCCGTCCTTGCATTATGGAGTACAGAGGCCTTCAAATAAACAGAGGTGCCTTGAAGTGTTGTTATGGGATAAAAGAGCTCTTGATTTTTGGCTAAAACTATAGAAGGAGACTCAGAAGGGCACTCTGAGAGCAGATTCCATTGCTCATCATTCCATGTCTTTATTTCTCTCACTTTGTGTCTTCTTACCCCTCTCAGAGAGATATGGTGGAAATCAGTTCATCTTCCTCTGGGGAGAGGGTGAGCAAGGAAAATAGAACACTGAACCTGCCAGTAACAAGGCAGGACTGGAGGTCCTGACATATTTTCTTCTCTCCTCAGGCCAGCTGGAGGGCTCTATGGCATTGACAGCATGCCAGATCTACGCAGAAAGAAGCCACTGCCGCTTGTCAGTGATCTGGTGAGTGACTCTTTGTAGACTTAGGCTGTAGGCTTGGGGTATCTCCCATTGGGCCTTGGCATATTATTAGGACTGGTAGTGGTCCATTTAGTGACAGATACTGGTCTGAAAATGTATCATCTAAAGCTCCACTGAGACTTAGTGATGAGACCTTAGTTGGACTTGTTCTATCTTACTCCCTCATTAGAGCCCCAGGTTCTTCATTAGCTAAAGCTCCTACCTGGAACTATAGCTTGGGCCCTTAAAACTGGGCTCCAAAGTAGTCTTCTAGGTATCTTGTTCCTCTCTACAACCTTCTTTGATGATCTGGAATGGAAACTGCCTCTAGCCCTGACCTAGATCATTGTGTTTAGTGTATAATGAGCATGACTGATGCTACCCCTTGGAGGTAAAGTGACAGTCTCCTCCTAAGATAGATTTTCTGGAGTATTTCTATGTCCCTAGTACATAACTCAGTGTCTGGCACTGAGAAGTAATGATAAAAAAAAAATTGTGGAATTGAATTGAAACAAGCTTAGGAGTTAAAGCTGATCTCAGGACCTCCAGAATGACTGGAAGGTCCCAACTTGGGTCATGCCTCCTGCGGCAAGATGAACTCAAGGAATTTTCCATAGCCTAGTGGGTGATGGGGATGGAGTAGGGCCCAGGCTTTCCCAGAGTCCTAGAGCTCTAAAGCTAGAAGTTCAGTAAGACTTGAACCCCTTTTCTTAGTACTATTTTCTGCTCCCCCCCCCACCATTCAGTCTATTTTGTTTTTTCTGTCCACTCCTTTTCCCATTTCTCCTCCATTCCCTGCTCTTTTTCCCCCACCAGTTTCTCTATCCTTAGTTGGCTGAATGGAATTATCCTTTGCCATTTTCTCTTGTTTTTTTTTTTCTTCCTTCCTTTCTTCCCTACTGCTTGTATATTTCTCCTTTCTCTTTTTCCTCCTTTCTAATGTATATCTCCTCTCACCATAAAGCTGGTTGGATGAGGATAAGTTCTGAGGTCATCTCTTTATTACTTTCTCTCATTATCTTCCATCTCCTTTTTTTTCTCTTCCTACTTTTTCTCCATATCTATCCACCCCCTCTCTCTTGCACACCAGCTCCTCTTTGCTTAACTAGTTGGATGGCAGTGTCTTAGTCATTTCCTACTCCCATTCTCCATCTTTTAACCTTGCCTATATTTCGCTTCCTGGCTTAACTCTTCCTTAGAGCAGAAGCTCTGGGCCCTGGACAGCTGGCTGGGTTGAAGATAATTTTTAGTGAATAGAAGCAGGGGGTTGGGATGTTGTTCCCTGCATTGATTAGACTATAGGGAAGAACCTTTCAGTTGCCTCTGCAAGTATTTTCATGCTCTTGGGGGTGGCTTTAACATCATGTTGTTCCTTTCTCTGCTGTCCTCTGCACAGGCTATGGTGAGTGTCTCCAGAGCCCCTTTCCATCCTCCGTAAGAATCCACATCTCAAACCAAGTGGGCCCCTCCCAACTCTTTCTCCTGCTTAGGCTGATAGTATACCTCCTGTCTACCCAATGTCCATTGCCCTAGGGAAACCATGTGCCTCTCCAGGGGTTGTCCCTAAAGCCTGGGCGTGGCAGATACATTAGGTTCCTTTACATGACAGCTTGGCTAGCAGAGCAGTCCCAGCTCTCAGATTTAATCCCCTGCCTTGATTGACTGAGGTTACATTGCCCCTTTCACTTGCCAAGTGTCCTGCTCATTTGGGCTGCTGGCCTCTATAACCACCTGGGATTATGTGGGTGTGGGTTGGTCCCCAGGGATAAAGGATAGCATGGCATCATTCTCAGTGATGGTTCTTAAATATGACTCTGACATAGTTTCTTAATGACCTGTTTCCTACTGTAATTCTAAACTTGTCATTTTCCTTTGCCTTCCTATAAACGAGGGGTAGGAAACCTACCAATAGGGAAGGAAAGAGAAACTCTTTGGATGATAGGTGCCCTAAGAGAAGTGCCATTCTAACATTGTTAGAATAGTCCCAAGGGTCTTGTGTTTTAGATCTTAACTTGGCATTCTTATTACCTAGAACCCATGGGCAGTCCCTTTGAATGACAGTAAATTAGAGAGAAGGTAGTAAGTCAAGTAGTCAAGTCACTTTGGTCACTGAAACTCCCTTCCTAGGACTTTGCCAGCCCTTGGCAGTAGCCAAGGCTGACAGCAGGTCTTCTCTCACAGTCATTGGTCCAGTCCCGGAAGGCAGGGATTTCTTCTGCAATGGCTACACGCACCTCTCTCAAGGATGAAGAGCTGGTAAGTGACCCATGGGCTTTTGTGAGTCCACTGGCCTAAAAACTGGTTATCATCTTTATAGCCATACTAACTGAGAATTCAAGAGTGTTGGGCACACATCATTAATGAAACAGATAAAAAGCTTCCAGAAACGCTGGAAGAGGTAAGGAGCCAGAACAAAGGTAAGACCAAGTCTCACGTTGGAGTATGTGACCAATGAACTCAGGGTTTTATGGTGGGGCTAGTATCCTCTGTTTCCTTAGAAACCTTGAACGCTGGGAAAAGGTTCAGATGTAGCATTCAAGTCAGATCTCTCTTGGATGACCAGGAGCACATGACATTGGGGGGCTTCTTTCTTCCAGTCTTGGCTATGGGCTGGGCCAGGCTAGAGTCTCTCCTTTATTGCCAGAGGAGAAACCAGGGTCTTGATTACCCTGCAAGGATCTCAGTTCTGGTATCTCTCAGCAGAGACCTAAAGTTGTTGGCGGGTGATGGGGTATGTGTCTTTCAGAAATCCCATGTGTATAAGAAAACCCTGCAGGCCTTAATCTACCCCATCTCGTGCACCACACCTCACAACTTTGAGGTCTGGACGGCCACTACCCCGACCTACTGCTATGAATGTGAAGGTCTGCTCTGGGGCATTGCCCGGCAGGGCATGCGCTGCAGTGAGTGTGGAGTCAAGTGCCATGAGAAGTGCCAGGACCTGCTCAACGCCGACTGCCTGCAGCGTGAGTGCCCCTGTGGTGAGGAGTGTAGAGCAGGGACAGCAGGGCCTCTCCAAAATAGTCTTGCAACAAAGAGCTAGGATGGCCAGACTGTCATTCCTCTGGTTTACCTGATCTTTGAGCTCTTTCTTTTTCAGAGAAAGTACGGTCTTGAGTCAAGGGGCATTGCCTTTCCAAATAACAGGTCTTATAGCACTCGCTCAAGCACCTTTAGGAAAACATTTTTTGAGCTTTCTGTGGCCCTGTGGCAGAATTGGATCTCTTCTAGGATTCAGATGATCCCAGAATCTGCTTGAGTAGTGTACATGCTGCAGTGGCCATATTGCCCAAATGACTAGAATATGTTTAATTGGGGACCAAAACTAATGAGGGAGTTCTGTGAGTTTCCACACTTCACAGAAGAACCTCTTAAAGTATAGACCCTAGGACCCAGGGAAGGTGGCATTTTTTCCCTTGATTATAGATGCAGCTTTTAGACAGAGTGCCAGGAACAGAACCATCAAATGGATCAGGCAGAGGTCCCAGAGGAGAATGTGCCAGACCCCCAAGGCCCTGACTAAATACGTGATTTGTTGTGCCATCATGGAGTGGGGCAAATAGGAGCAGGAAAAGCAACAAGTTTCTGTCAAAGGAGTTGGCAGCCCTCCAAATTCTTGCTCCTTGCTCTGCTCCTGCAGGGCTTATACCACTGTGGCTAGACCTCAGGAGGAGCGGGGGTTAGGGATGTGGGAAAGTATTTTCTTGCTCCTCCAGGTCTTTCAGGTGTTATTCAGAGCTAAGCCATAGCAAAGAAAGTTTCAAGGATTGTGGGAGGAGAAAGGAAGGTTACCTTTAGACTCATAAGCACTTCATTATCCCAAGGAAAGATATGTGACACAAATGGGGCCCAGAGAGAGGCTTCAAAGAATTGTTCCCTTAAAATGTCTTTCTGCGAAGAGCCCTAGATTGGTGCCAGTGGCATGGCTACAGCAGACATGCAGAAACAGGTAGAACAAAGTCAGTGGAAGAAATGGGGCTCTGAAAAGACTGAATATGAATGCTGGTGATGACTTTGCCCAAACCCATCATGGCGGGGGGGGGGTGGTTGCGGTGAGAAGCACAGGTGTCAGCAGACTCTTGCTTTAATTGCTGAGAACTAGCAGCCAGACAGACTGTATAGGCAGCTTGCTGGAAACCTTCTGAAATGCTGCTCTGTAGCAAGAGTGTCTACCTTTTTCTCAAGGGCCTTCTAGAGGTGCTAATCCAAGGAAGTAGCAGTGCATGGGATATGCTAGCTAAATGGCAAGACTAGGATGCAACCCAGGTCATTTTTCATTTATCAGAAAGTATCTTCTGCCTAAAGCTTCTGTGAAGCTTAGGGTGGAATGAATTGCCCTACTGTGGGCCTCCTGTGACAGAAGATCCACTTACCGTCTTTCCAGGGTTAGGATGCAGATGTTGGCCTTAATTTTTGCTCCAGGTTTTGTAGAAAAGGCCCAAGCCTTTGGAGAATAGAGAGAGGTAAGAGCCAGTCTGCAGAGTCAGTAAAAGAAGGAAGGACCCCTTTGTGACAAGCCCATTTGGTGAAACACATCAGAGGAGTCTGTTCTGCCATAATCCTTAGGACAGCAGGGGAAACCTGCTAGCCTCTGAGATGAGCTATCTGGCGTCACAGCCGGTAAAGATGTCCCTTGCCATCTCTGCCAGGATAATAATGATGCTGGTAACAATAAAAGCGACCATTTATTTGAGTTCCTGTTAGGTGCCAGGCTCTGGGCCAGATGCTTTATATATGCTAACATAATGCTTCTTAAAATCCCAAGAGTTAAGTGCTGATTTCTTAGAAGAACCTGGTTTACCCAGCTAGGAGTGGTGGAGTGAGGATTTAAACCCAACCCTGTCTCATACCAAAGGCCATACTTTTCTTTCTATACTACATTATTTTCTGAGATTAAAGGCATTAGAGTCCTGAGGCAGAATCCAGTGTATGCTCTGATGAACTCTGGGATCTGTATCATGACTTGGAAGTTGGATGAGATTGGTGGAGTTGTCATGTGCACCCACCCACCCTCCCTGGTAACTGAGATACCCATTGGTGGTATTTTGGCCTTAAACTTGAAGGGTACCTCTCAACCATGTGGGATAGAAGAAAGACAAGGCCAACTTCAGGCTAAGCTACACTTTTTGTTTCTTTTTTTTTGATGAAAAATTCAATATATATCTAAGTGAAATAGTATAATAAACCCCCATAATAATTATCAAGTTTTTGCTGCTTAAATTCCACTAGCCAGGCATTAAACTTCAGCAGGTCCCATATTGGTTAACTTTTCCCAGGGCCATCCCAGTGTTAAGCTCCTTCTACTTCTCAGTGACCTCTCCCAGGCCCTATTCCTCAGCCTGACCCTTGGTCTGGTGGGTGGCCTATTGGTTATCTTACTTTCTGTCTCTGGTCATTATTCAGGGGCTGCAGAAAAAAGTTCTAAACATGGAGCTGAGGACCGGACCCAGAACATAATCATGGCCATGAAGGACCGCATGAAGATCCGAGAGCGGAATAAGCCAGAGATCTTTGAGGTCATCCGAGATATCTTTACTGTAAGCAAAGTTGCCCATGTGCAACAGATGAAAACAGTGAAGCAGAGTGTACTGGATGGCACCTCCAAATGGTCGGCCAAAATTACCATCACTGGTGAGTAGGCCAAAGTTTGAGAGGACAGGAATGCCTAGGCTGTGGGGAGGAACCTGGGGAAGAAGCATCCTGAGTTGAGGGAACAGGGGGCTAGAGGGAAAGAAGATAGAATTGAGGGAAGAAGGGAAGGCCTTCCCCTCTCCTAGACCCTGGTGCCATCAGGTATTGGGAGAGCAAGGCCAGCATCTACAAGTGATATGAATGATAATGAAGGATTTGGTAACAATCTGATGTTATGTACTTGGTTAACGTCTCATATTACAAGAGGTAGGGGTGGGGGAAACAGGATAGGTAGGAGATCAGGGAATAGTTAAACTAGTGCTTTACTAGCTTGGTGGGTGTGGCTGAAGCATGTATATATCAATATTAGGGGTAAGTGGTCAGTTAGGGCTCTGGTGAGCAGGTGGGATTCTTGGGCCAGCTTTTGAGAGAAAGACTGGTGGCCCAGGACTAAGCGTAGATGTGGAGAACTGAGATTAGTGTTCCCTTGCAAGGAGCAGATAGAGACTGCTCTAAGATGGAGAACATATGAGTGGTGCTATGGAGGACTTCTGACTTCTGGAATGTACTCTAAAGCCTCCTCCTCTGTAATTGGGTTGCAGTGGTGTGTGCCCAGGGCCTACAAGCCAAGGACAAGACAGGATCCAGTGACCCTTACGTGACTGTGCAAGTGGGCAAAACCAAGAAGCGTACCAAGACTATTTTTGGGAACCTGAATCCTGTTTGGGAAGAGAAGTTCCATTTGTAAGTCACAGAAGGCTTTGTCTTACCTGGGACTGTATGTACATTAGAAGCAGCATTAAATCCTATTATTCTTGGCTTGGACCCTAAGAGGGATGGGGCAGTGGCACTGGAGAAAACCCATTTCTCACAGGCTTCAATTGGGCAGCAGCCATTTATTTCCTGGGTTTTTTTTTTATGGACTGTTACGTCAGGATTACTTTACCCAGGCCCTGTCTTAAGTAGGGCTATTAAAGGGACTCCTGGGCACTCCATACTGCTTTTTCTAGTGTTAGATTTTCCTACTGCTCAGTGACAAAACCAGGGACTGACCACCCTATTGTGTACCTCTCAGCCTTGCCATCCTGCCTAGGAAGGATTAGACTCTTCTGGAGAGTTGGGAAGGAATGTCTGAGTAATTCTGACTTGAAGATAGAAATCTGGGGTCCGGAGAAGTTTCCATTTCCCTTAAAAGGCTCTGCTTTTTCTCCTGCCTCAGCTCCTACTCCTACTCCCTTTCCTATTGTCTCATTTTCTTACAGACTATTTCATAAGACAGTAAGGGATGGTTGTTGAAAAGTGGCAAGCTCTTATCTAGGACATGGAATAATGTTTGGAGAATCTAGATGCTTTGTCACACCCCTAAGGCCTAGGACCAGGACTTAAGAGTCTGAATTAGCTAAGCCGGCTGGTTATGTAGAGACTTTCTTCTCTTGGCTCCCTGGAGAAGTCATGTGGAAAGGGATTGGGGCCGAGTACAGTTGGCCTCCAGTTCAGAGGCAGTAGTTACTGGGTGGAGCACCTACTTCTTTAAGAATCTGAGTGGTTCCTGCTTGAATTCTTTTTATTCTAAATTAATTCTAAATGAATTGACTCTGTAGTCAGTTTTGCCTGTTTTTATCCATTTAGCAAATACATTCTTTTTTATTTTATCTTATGTTAGTCACTGTACAGTACATCATTCGTTTTTGATGTAGTGTTCCATGATTCATTGTTTGCGTATAACACCCAGTGCTCCATGCAATATGTGCCCTCCTTAATACCCATCACCAGGCTAACCCATCCCCCACCCCCTCCTCTCTAAAACCCTCAGTTTGTTTCTTGGAGTCCATAGTCTCTCGTGGTTCGTCTCCCCCTCCAATTTCTCCCCCTTCATTTTTCCCTTCCTTCTCCTAATGTCCTCCATGCTATTCCTTATGTTCCACAAATACGTGAAACCATATGATAATTGACTTTCTCTGCTTGACTTATTTCACTTAGCATCATCTCCTCCAGTCCCATCCATGTTGATGTAAAAGTTGGGTATTCATCCTTTCTGATGGCTGAGTAATATTCCATTGTATATAGGAACCACATATTCTTTATCCATTCATCTGTTGAAGGGCATCTCAGCTCTTTCCACAGCTTGGCTATTGTGGACATTGCTGCTATGAACATTGGGGTGCATATGGCCCTTCTTTTCACTACATCTGTGTCTGTGGAGTAAATACCGAGTAGTGCAATTGCTGGGTCATAGGGAGCTCTATTTTTAATTTTTTGAGGAACCTCCACACTGTTTTCCAAAGTGGCTGTACCAACTTGCATTCCCACCAACAGTATAAGGGGGTTTTCCTTTCTCCACAACCTCTCCAACATTTGTTGTTTCTTGCCTTGTCAATTTTTGCCATTCTAACTGGTGTAAGGTGGTATCTCAGTGTGGTTTTGATTTGAATTTCCCTGATGGCTAATGATGATGAATACTTTTTACATGCGTCTGTTAGCCATTTGTATGTCTTCTTTGGAGAAGTGTCTGTTCATGTCTTCTACCCATTTATTGACTTGATTATTTGTTTTTTGTAACTGTAGAAAGAGAAATTAGAGAATTGATTCCATTTACAATAGCACCAAAAACCATAAGATACCTTGGAATAAACCTAACCAAAGAGGTAGAGGATCTGTACTCTAGGTACTACAGAACACTCATGAAAGAAATTGAAGAAGACACAAATAGATGGAAAAACATTCCATGCTCATGGATCAGAAAAATAAACATTGTTAAAATGTCTGTGCTGCCCAGAGCAATCTATACTTTCAGCGCCATCTCGATCAAAATTCCAATGATATTTTTCAAAGTGCTAGAACAAACAATCCTAAAATTTGTGTGGAATCAGAAAAGACCCCGAATTGCCAAGGAAATGTTGGGGGAAAAAACAACAAAACTGGGGGCATCATGTTGTCTGATTTTAAGCTATATTACAAAGCCGTGATCACCAAGACAGCATGATACTGGCACAAAAACAGACACATAGACCAATGGAACAGAATAGAGAGCCCAGATACGGACCCTCAACTGTATGGTCAAGTAATCTTTGACAAAGCAGGAAAAATACGCAATGGAAAAAAGATAGTCTCTTCAATAAATGGTGCTGTGAAAATTGGACAGCTATATACAGAAGAATGACAACCATTCTTACACCATACACAAAGATAAACTCAAAGTGGATGAAAGACCTCAGTGTGAGACAGGAATCCATCAAAATCCTAGAGGAGAGGGGCGCCTGGGTGGCTCAGCCGGTTAAACGTCTGCCTTCTGCTCAGGTCATGATCCCAGTGTCCTGGGATCGAGCCCCACATCAGGCTCTGTGCTCAGCAGGGAGCCTGCTTCTCCCTCTTCCACTGCTTGCCTGCCTGCCTACTTGTGCTTTCTCTCTCCCTCTGTCAAATAAATAAATAAAATCTTTAAAAAAAAAATCCTAGAGGAGAACATAGGCAGTAACCTCTTCGACATTGGCCACGCTACTTCTTTCAAGACACGTCCCCAAAGGCAAGGGAAACAAAAGCAAAATTGAACTTTTGGGACTTTATCAAGGTAAAAAGCTTCTGCACAGCAAAGGAAACAGTCAACAAAACAAAGGGGCAACCCACAGAATGGGAGAAGATTTTTGCAAATGATACTACAGATAGAGGGCTGATATCCAACATCTATAAAGAAATTCTCAAACTCAGCACCCAAAAAACAAATAAGCCAATAAATGGGCAGAAGACATGAATAGCAAATACATTCTTAAACCCCTATTCTGTAGAAGACACTGTAGATGATATTGTGTATCTAAAATGGGCAAGACATGGCGCACCTGGGTGGCTCAGTTGGTTAAGTGTCTGCCTTTAGCTCAGGTCGTGATTTCAGGATCCCGGGATCGCACGCCCATTGGGCTCCCTGCTCAGTGGAGAACCTGCTTCTCCCTCTCCCCCTACCCCTCCTCCTGCTCTTTCTTTCTCTCTGTCTCTCTAATAAATAAAATCTTAAAAAAAATAAAATGTATAAGACAATCTGCCTTCAAGAAGTTCCTTGTCGATTTGTCTATTTTTCAGTAGACCAGCAGTTATACTATAGTATTTCAATGGGATGTGCAAAGATACTATGAGAACACAGAGAAAAAAAGCAGCAAATTCTATCATTGTATGAGGCAGTAGGATCCCGTAAGCACCTGTGAGGGAAGGAGAGCATGTGGGGTACCTGGCCAAACTCCCTTTTCCAAAGCAAACATCATAGGGAAAAATAACAATTCAACTGGGTTTTAAAAAATGAAGTTCACCAAGCACATACTTAGATAGATGGGGGAGCTGGATGGAAAGCTAAGCAGATATGACCAGATGGACATATCATGAACATTAACACCTTTACTGACTTTGGGAAGGGAACTAGCAGTTGCTTCCTAGGGGTCTTTAGCATTTGTCCACCGTTTGGTGGTGTTGATACAGCTAGCAGCACAGGAAATCAGAATTGTTCCTAATTACTCTTCCCCCCAACCCCCACCCTTCTTTGTGTCAAGGGAATAAGGACTCAATAATGGTATGTAGAGCCACCCAGGCTGACTAGGATAGTTTGTCTCACTTGGAACTTTAGTACCACTGTTCCCTGACTCCTTCTCTTCCTCTGCAGGGCCTCAAGTACAGTTGATGGAGCTTTGGGAGGGAATTGGAAGTACTAAGAATGGGTGTTGCTTTGTTGGTCCCTAGCAGAGCTTGCCTGTTTCTCTCACAGTGAGTGCCACAACTCTTCTGACCGCATCAAGGTACGTGTATGGGATGAGGATGATGACATCAAGTCGAGAGTAAAGCAGCGGCTAAAGCGAGAGTCTGATGATTTCCTTGGCCAAACCATTATTGAGGTTCGGACACTGAGTGGTGAGATGGACGTCTGGTACAACTTGGGTAAGGAAACAGGACCAGAGAAAGTTGCTGAGAAGTGATAGTATGAATGGAAAATCTGGGGGAAAATCTTATCTACTAAAACCATCACTCAGTCCCTAAAGCATTCCTCTATACAGAGTGTGCCTTACCTGCAGAGAACCGATCATGTGTGGAGATGGGGGACAGAGGTGTGGAAGTGGCTGGAACTCACTCTGGCTGGACATTCTTCAGATTTCAGAAGGCCCTTTAATTTTCATGCTTACCTCTAATAGTTTTAGCTCCCTATTCTCTTAATGGCATAAGAGAATTTCTATGGGGAATATTTGGGATATGTATAGACGATGTGGTCGCTGGAGTAAGTTCACCCTCTTTGGTGAACCCCTACATCAGTGCCTCTTTTTCCTTGGGTTAAACCAGGATGAGGGATGTCTGTGTTCTCTGTAGTTGCATTGGTGTCAATCTCTGGTTCTTTTCTTCTTAGAGAAGAGGACCGATAAATCAGCCGTCTCAGGGGCTATCCGACTACAAATCAGTGTGGAGATCAAGGGGGAGGAGAAGGTAGCACCATATCACGTGCAGTATACGTGTCTCCATGAGGTGAGCCAGCCCTTGGTAGATGGGGGTGTCAGAAAGCTGTGCTGGGAAGGGTCCTTGACAGTAAATAGGATTGCTGAATGGTTGAAGATCTGGGACCTGTTTTTTATTCACTGTGCTACCCCAGAGAGCCCAAGTAATAATCCCAGCCTTAGTTCTCTTTCACTAATGTAAGTGCAGCCTACTGGGACCACACGAGGAACTAGCAATGACTTGAAAGACAGAATTTCTTTGGCACCCTATTCACATTCTCCTGGACTTTACCACCAGTTTTTGGTTTTGTTTTTAATATGTATTTAACTCTTTCCTTTGCTCTGTCTCCTGCAGAACCTTTTCCATTACCTCACAGACATTCAGGGTAGTGGAGGAGTCCTGATCCCTGAGGCTCGAGGAGATGATGCATGGAAGGTGTACTTTGATGAGACTGCCCAAGAAATTGTGGATGAATTTGCCATGCGCTATGGCATCGAGTCCATATATCAGGCCATGACGTGAGGCTCCCCTGGGACTTTGGGAAGTGGCTGCTAACTTGTAGGGAGGCTAATGAAGGCACATGGAGAGAGTGAACAGGTCCTTAGTGGGGTAGTATGCAGTGAATTGTTGCTTTCCTCCCTGAGCTGAGGTGAGGTGGGTCTGTGCCCCAAGGCAAAGAAAATATATGTATAAACGGAGTATGTTTATCAGGAATTCAGGGAGAAGGTATTTATTTGTCTCCCCCAGGGTTCAGAGATAGGAAGGGCAAAGGGCATAAGAGGGTATGCCAGGACAAACTTGCCCAAACATCACAGGCCTGAGGAGATACCGCATGTGTGCTTACGTATATGTGTGTGATAGACAAGCTTTCATAGATTCACTAAACTATAGGGAAAACAGCTGTGTCTGGAGTTGAGCAAGACTCCTATGCCAGAAATTTTTGCCTACTATGAGAAGAGGTATTGTTTGTATATTGCTGAGACTGCCACTAGAGCTGTGCTCAGGAAGCAGCCCCAGGTAAACAGAGGGTAACTCTTTCCCTGAATGTGCTTCATTTATTCTAAAAACTTTTATTAAGTTCCTTTTATGTGTCACACATTGTTCTAGGTGCTGAGAACACAAAGATGAATAAGATGGGGCCTCTGTGCTTGGGGAACTGAGTCTAGTAGGAAAGAGAGACCAGTAAACAATTACAGTATAATATGATCAGTGCTATGGTAGAAGTAATAACAGGGTATTATGAGAGCATCAGAATTTTAGGGGAGGCATGTGAGGGAAGCCATTAAAGAGATGACACTTGAACTGAGTCTTGAAATACAGGAAAGGCAGAAGAGCATTTCCGGTAGGGCATGTGCTGGGGTGTTGAGATGCAGCTGAACATAGAATATTCAAGGAATTACAGGAAGTTCATTATAGATGGCAAGAAAAAATATGGTGAGGAATGTGCTTTGAGAATGGCCTCCCTACCATTCTTACTCTGTTCATTCACCCTGTATGATTTCATTCAAACCTATGACCTTAACCACTACTTCTGGGCTAGGGACTCCCAATTTTTTTTTCCAGATCACACCTCTTCCTGAATTTCAGATCCATTGTCATCTGCTTCCTTAGTATGCTAAATTCCAAATCGACATTGTCTCCACCAAATATGTGATATCTTCCTATATTTCCTATTTTAGTAAATGGAACAATTTTCTAGGCAGGTGTCCACACAAATTTAGGAGTCGGCATAAACTTTTCTTTCTTAATTACTACTGCCCCTTTAAATCCCCACATCCAAACTGTAAAACCTGGATTCTATCTCCTAAAAATGTTTTTAACCTATCACTATTACTATAGCACAATAATAATGATAATAATAACAACTCCCTTGTGCATTTCCTTATGTCCCAGGCACTGGTCTAAGCACTTGATGAATTTTAACTCATTTAATTCTCATGTTAACCCCGTGAGGGGGTATCATTATCTTTCCCATTTTAGGTAAGAAAACAGGCATAGAGAAGCTTACGTAATTTATCCAAAGTCGCTGAGTAAGTGGTGGAGCTGTGAGTCAAAACCAGTCTTGCTCTAGAATCTATATTCTTTTTTTTTTTTTAAGATCTTATTTATTTATTTGAAAGTGAGAGAGAGAGCACGAGCAGGGGAAGAGGGAGAAGCAGGCTCCTCGCCAAGCAGGGAGCCCGATGGTGGGGCTCAATTCCAGGACCCTGGGATCATGCCTTGAGCCAAAGGCAAACGTCCAACTGACTGAGCCACCCAGGCGCCCCTAGAGTCTATCTTCTTAACCATTTCTCTGTTCCATTTAGTGCTTCATTGCTTCTTTTCTGAATGATTGCAGTAACTCTTCAACTGCTCTTTCTGTCCTCGTCTCATCTCTCTCCAAGCCTTCTTTTCCAATTTATCATCAAAGGGAACTTTCTGAAAGACTAATCTGATCACACTGTGCCTTTATGTTAAAATTTGCCATGGTATTGAGGATAAACTCTTCTATTAACTATTCTGTGCTTGCTTCTCTTCTCTCATTTCTTGGTATTCCTCTATCAAATACCTGAACAGTGGCCATAACTGAGGTTTCAAATGAATCAGTCTTTCATGAATATGTTTGTCTTTTGCAATGCAATTTCCCTTTGCCTGCACACTTCTCCATTTGATTAATTCCTACTAATTCTTTAAGACTTGGTTCAGCCATCTTCTCTTTGAGAAATCCTATTCTAATCCCTTTCAGCCCCCAACCATTCTGACTGAGGTGATCTTCTTGTATGTTTCTACAGTGGTTTTGCCTAGCATGTCTTCGCTTATTGACTTTCTAACACTTCTTTCTCTGCCAGCCTATCACATCTTTGAATTCTAGCACCTAGAACAGGGCCTGGCACATGGTAGGCATTCATTGAATGTATATTTGAATGAATCAATTGTGAAGATCCTTGTATGCCAAGGTGATGGGAAGCTTCATATACACCAATGAGCTCTTTTAATTACTTAGTTTTTGCTGCAGGCCCTGAAGAGTCTTTGAGGCTGAGGATGCTATTTTTCAGGCACTTTGCATGTTTGTCATCCAAGTACATGTGTCCTGGTGTGCCAGCAGTGATGAGCACCTTACTGGCCAACATCAATGCCTACTATGCCCACACAACTGCCTCCACCAATGTCTCTGCATCTGATCGCTTTGCAGCCTCCAACTTTGGGGTGAGTGTGATGTAAAAACATACCTACTCATTTGTTATCAGTTAATAAAGTTTGATTTTTCCCAGTAGGCACTATAGAGTTGTTTAATATGCCTAAAATTCAGAGAGCTGACACTTAGATGAACTTGTTTCTTTATGGGTGTGTAGACTATGCTAATAGACTCTTCCTTATTTCATTATGGATAGGTAGACTTACTAATGGACTCTCCTCAGACATGGATACATGAGAGAAAGTGGAATAGCATCACTGTGGTTTCAGGGGTACCACCTGGGCTGAGGCAGAACCTCTCTAGGCCAAGAACTTGGTTGAGTCACCATGTTCCTTAGTCCTGCAAGTCCACAAGTAGACCTTTCTTAATATTATTTTGTTTCTCTCTGACTCATACCACTCAAGTTCATATGCAACTGATGTCTGAGTGAAGATTCCAGTATATTCCTGAGCCTATCCCTTTTCTAGTGTTTGGACTGTTTACCCTATCCAGGATGTGCCCTTTCCTGGTTTTAAGTTACTTGAGAAGTTGAATCTTTATTCAGAATGTCACCTGACACAAGTTCAATGTAAACTGAATGAAATATCTTTGACCAACCACAAAGATTACCTCTTAAGGAATAACATTACTGGGACTACTCCCAAATCTACTGGGTCTCTGAGCCCTGTTTTTTGGAAGTAACCATCTTCCCTTTTTTGGTAGAGTCTTTCTGTAGATTAATTAACATCATTGATTAAGCCACTCAAACATGTGTTCCATTATCTCATCCCATTATATATATTTATGTAAGTCCTAATGATCTATCATACAATCAGTGTATGAGTTCTAAGAGTGCTATACCAACAGCCTATAGGCATGTGATTCCACATTTAGTTATACCTTTTCTATAAAAATCAACTTAAAATAGTGTGGTGAGCACTGGGTGTTCTGTAAGACTGATGAATCACAGACCTGTACCCCTGAAACAAATAATACATTATATATTTATTAAAAATAATATAAAATACAAATAAATAGTGTATGTTATTTATTTTAACATTAAACAAGTATAAACTAAGGAAAATGATATGGAATGTGGTTGAAAGAGAAACCCTCTCAGGTCTGCTTGATCACCTTCCAAATGAATCAGTTTGTCCCTCTTATCCCTTACTGGTATGCTGTGGCTATTTAACTGTTAAGAGCTGCCTGAGGGTAAGTCAGGAGACCACAGACTCAGGAACAAGTTGGAGAATGTGTTTTGAGTTTCCTTTTATTTGACTAAGAGGAGTTAGAGTCCCAAAGGGATGGAGATGCATGGGTCATCTCCTGTTGACTCTTATATAGAAAGAGCTGTTTCTCTCCTGGGAACTTCCTGTCCCCTTGCCAGTGTAAGAAAATTCCCCAGTTTGAGACAGAGCCACTAAGAGATGGAACAGGGGCCACCTATCCCAGTCCTCCGTTACATTATTCGTTCTCATGGGCAATGATGAGATAGGATGTGTCCCTAAACCAGTGTCTCCTCCTCACCCAGAGATGGTTCTGTTTCTGCTACAGTCTAGGGAGCTTAGATTATTTCTCTCTTCCCTGTTATTTGTTTCCTACCCTCAGAAAGAGAGATTTGTAAAGCTACTGGACCAGCTGCACAACTCACTGAGGATTGACCTCTCTACCTACAGGGTGAGTGAAGACATGACTGTGAGATGGAATAACAGATAATATCAAGCTCTGTCTAGAGAGCCTGTAGTCCAATCTTGGCTATAAAGATTAAAGGCAAGGAAAATTGGTCCCTGTCATCACACCTACGCACATGCCAGTGCCACTGACGTCTGTGGTTCTCCAAACTCCAAAGACCATGCAGTGTGTAAATAGCAAGTGTGGCTGTTTTTTTATAGGCAGTTGGCTTTCCAACCATACTGATGTCACTCTGTCAAATCCTCTGATGACATTCTCATTAGGGTCGATAATCTCTTCCAGATTATGGAAGAGGATAATCTCTTCCAGAAATGCCCCTTATATTTCTTTTTGTATTTTTCATGTTCTCTTATTTTTCAAGGGAGGTATGAGAATCTGGCTAAGGGGAGAGAAAGAGTAGCTTGGCTTGGGCAAGTGATTTGTAGCAAGGGTCATGTCCATTCCTAGAATGGAGGGAGGAAATAGATATACTAGGAGAAGGGGGTACCAGGGACAGGGCAGGACAGGAAAATGGGCAGTTTCCCAATTCTTCCTAAGTTAGATCTTCTTAGAATGGTTTTGTTACTTGCTTTAAAGTGTTGTGAATTTCCAGAACCGGCAATATATCCACATTAAAAAGTAAGTATAAAAATAACCTCAAAGTCAAAAAGAAGTGGAGTTTTAATTATCTGCAATTTCAGTGCCCTCCATTTGCATGAATAATGGAGAGTTGACAGTATATCTTATATTTGGCATGTAATTAGCCATTTGAAAGTTTAAAAAAGCAACCCTTAAAATGGAGAGTGGCTCAACATCTCCCTTCAGCTCTCCTTGGCAGCTTCCTCCTAAAACTCATGCCAAGGGGAATGAAGTGAGGCATGGTGGGAAGGTCCTAGGGAAGTCACTCCAAAGCAGTTTTGCTCAGAGCTCTGCCATCTTCTGGCTCTGGAAGGAATGTGGAATAGCTGAGGTCCCTTGCACAGAAAATATATATCCTTGATCTAAGTCTGGTCTGTAGTGTGGCTCCATTTATATTCCAGAATATACAGTTACATTATAACTTTTGAAGAACTCACTGTTTAGGTATAAGAATCTTCACCCAAGAAAAATGTGTGTATAAAATGTGTGTGTTTCTGTCTGTGTGTTCATTTGTGCAAATGCTTACACATTGCATGGGAAGTAGGGTTGGTGTAGGAGGTGTTGCTTGCTGGGCTGGGGATTATTAACCCCTGCTTTAGGCAAGAGCCTGTCTTTGTCATAGGAAAGAGAGGGGAGACTTTAGTTTTACAGCTTTTTTGTTCAGCTCAACTGGGGAAAATCCCAGTGGGTAGTAGTTAAGGAAGCTTTTTATTTCATTGCTTTTGGCAGGGAAGGCTTTCATATTTCTCTTTTCCTTTCTTAAATTTGCTTAATTTGCAACAGAATAATTTTCCTGCTGGAAGCCCTGAGCGGCTTCAGGACTTGAAGTCAACAGTGGATTTGCTGACCAGCATTACTTTCTTCAGAATGAAGGTAAGAGATAAACTGGGCTAGATGGTGATGGACTGGGCACCTGGCCACAGGAACATGGAGAATAAGAATCATTGGGCACAATCTGAGGCTATAGTATTCATCACCTCTAAGCGCACATTTCCATACACCTGTTCCCTGGGTTACATCTGAGAAGACCGTGGATCAGCAGGGATGGGATGGGCAGTTCTCCCAATCAGGTATCCTAGCAATTTCATCCTAGGGCAGGGTGCAGGGACCCATCGAGAGATGCTGGGATCTGGAATAGGTTGAGGGGAATTCTAGGAGGAGATCACTCAGGTGAGCAGGACCATGGGCCCATTTCTTTTATTAATTGGCAGGTGCAAGAACTGCAGAGCCCTCCAAGAGCCAGCCAGGTGGTAAAGGATTGTGTGAAGGCCTGTTTGAACTCCACATATGAATATATCTTCAACAACTGCCATGACTTGTACAGTCGCCAGTACCAGCTGGTAAGAGGTTCAGGATCAGGTGGGACCAACTGTCAGTGGCCCTTGGATCCTCAGTTTTCCTTTACTGTGGTTATGGTGGAAGGGAGCTTAGGACAAAGTCCTTGATGTTCTTGAGGGTGAGTAAAGTGTAGAGTGAGGACCTTCTAGACCATGTGAGACATTTGTGGATTGATAGGGACCATTGGACGAGATGTGACATAACTGAGTTGAGCAGAAGTGGCAACAGTGAATTTTAGTTTGGTGCTAAGTGACCAAAATTTGGGCAGTTTTAGCAGGGGAGTAGGTGAATTCTCAGTCCATCTCAGAATCTCTTTTCTCTCCCAAGCTTATTTGTTCCAGGCTGCCTTCCTCTGAGATACGTAGTTGTCTCTCTGAACTACCGGCTTGTGGAAATTTAACTTTTCTCTTTGACACTTCTCTCTGCATAGCATGGTCTTCTGAGATTTATTCATTAGCTGACTGTCAAGGCTGACTCTTATGCTTCTGTGAGGCTGAGCTACTTCACTTGTTTTATGCTGACATCCTAACCTACTACCTGGTGACTGTGTATATTTTTCTAGATCCTTTCAATAGTATCTTTTATTTTCTAATTTCAAAGCCAGGACTTCTTTCTGGGTCTAGTTACTAGTTTACAGTTTCTGTCTTAATAATTCTTTTCTTTTTAAAAAAGATTTTATTTATTTATTTGATAGAGACAGACACGGAACACAAGCAGGGGGAGTGGGAGAGGAGAAACAGACTTCCCAAGGAGAGGGAGCCTGACGTGGGTCTCGATCCCAGGACGCTGGATCATGACCTGAGCCGAAGGCAGACGCTTAACGACTGAGCCACCCAGGCGCCCCCTGTCTTAATAATTCTTGCAGACCATGAATTTGCAGAATAGATTCCCTTTAGTCCAACAAATATGTATTGAATGAGTCAGGTCTGAGGAAAGCATAGTGCTCCTTCAATTAGTTAGCAGTTTCTAAGCATATATATAACTCTAATCAAAGCATTCTGTGAGAAGTGCCTTGAAACCTCAGTAAAATTGAAGGGATTCCAAGAAGGAAGAAGTCAGATATTGGGAAAAGCTACTAAAACAAGGGCATTTGACATAGACCTTAAAAGGCAGTAGGATTTGGACAGCAAATGATGGGAGGACAACCTAAATCTCTTAGACATTTGCTTATGGTGAATACATCCAATTTGTAATGCTTCCTAGGAGTACCTCACTTAAGACTAAAATCTTGTTCACACTGCCTCCTCCCATTCCCAAATGCTCTTTTTGTGCCAGCCCTATCTTTAAGGCTTCCTCCTTTTAAGGCTTCCTCCTTATAAAACGTCCCATTGGTTCTGAAGCTCATGTTTAGCTTTGTTTGTTTAGCTTACCACACTCTGGGGTCCTTTGTCATCCATCTGTGAATTCTCTTTGGTTGGAGAAGACATAGTTCTCAGCTTTGATTTTTCAACTATGAAGGGGTATATCTGAATATTTAGTCTCTGTTCCTTAGCATGAGATGAACCTGGACTTTGAAAGAGAGCTTATAAACCATTCAGGTACTTTATTTAGCCTTTGAATTTTGCCAACTGTTTTTTACTTTTTTTCACTCTCATTTTCTCGTTATTCATTATTTACACTGAGGCAAACCATTGGTGTCTTTTTATTCATTTCTACTCACTTTCAGTAATTGGTTCATTTATCCATTTATTCCCTTAACAAACTGAACATGTAGGGATGTAAAGTTAAGACACATCTCTGTTTTTGGAGAGCTCATCATTTGGTGGAGGCAGGTGGCACAAATTACTAGATATATTTATTTTTTTAATGTATTGGGTTTATTATTATTATTATTATTATTATTATTATTATTATTACTGAATTTCATTGTAGTTGCCAAAGGTTCATAGAGCGTGTTCTGGGAACCTACAAGAGAGGCATCTAAGCAGACCAGTGGTGTCAGGGAAAACTTTCAGAAAAGGTAAAGCTCAGCCTGAATTTTGAGGAATGAGCAGGAGTTGGTTAATGAAAGGGGTTGGGGAAGAGAGGGATTACCATATAGAGGTAGTAGAATGTTTGGAGGTACAGAATTGTAAATGAGTATGTTAATTTGAAAAAATATAAGCAGTTTAATTTTTTTTAAAGATTTTATTTATTTGATAGAGAGACAGTGAGAGAGGGAACATAAGCAGGGGGAGTGGGAGAGGGAGAAGCAGGCTTCTCGCTGAGCAGGGAGCCCTATGCGAGGCTCGATCCCAGGACCCTGGGATCATGACCTGAGCTGAAGGCAGACGCTTAACCAACTGAGCCACCCAGGTGCCCCGAAATATAAGCAGTTTAATTAGGGTAGTTACAATGTCAGGCTTTGGAGTTCAGCTATCTGGGATCAGATCTTGGTTCTACTCTTTATAGCTATAAGACCTTGGACAAGTCATTTAACCTCACTGCCTTTGACTGAACTTCCTCTTCTGTCAAATTAAGGTGATGGTAATTTCTACCCAATGGAGTTGTTAGGAGGATTAAATGAGATAACCCATGTAAAGTTCTTAGGGTGCCTGGCACCTAATAAGCACTAAATAAGTGGTGGTTGTGGGGCGGTGATGGCTGCAAGGAAAGGGAATTGGTAAGGTGTGGGGTTGAGAAGAGAGGTCATATTATGAAGGCCTTTTGTGTTAAGCGGTGGAGTTGAAACTTATTGAAGGCCTTGACTGAAGGCCACTGAAGGGCAGAGGAGTCACGCTATGAGAGAGTCCTTGCAGAAAGATCACTAACAACTATGTGGAAGAGGATTAGAATGAAGATTAAAGATCAGTTAGGAGACCCTTGAGTGATAAGGATAAGGTAGTGGCAGAAAAAGTTAAAGGAAGAGATGTATTTAAGTGATATTAAGCGGGCAGAATCCACATTCTGTGGGTTCTGTCCTGGTTTCTAGTAACTTCCTTGTAATGCAGGTTTATTAAGGACTGTGGAGACTGTGATGACATATGGCATCGCACATAAAAGTCCTATCCCTCTTCTTCTGGGTGGTTCCAACTTTGCTTTTGTCCCAGTGGGAGATAAATGTCCATTCCAGCAGTGACCCCCTCCTTCTCCTGTCCAGGGTCTGAATGTAGAACTGCTTCTCCTTTCCTGAGATTCACCATTGTATTCCTTTACCTCTTCCCAACCAAGTCTTTTTTTCTTCCCCTGGCTTTACTGGAATATAATTGGCGTATAACATTGTGTATGCTTAAGGTGTGCAATGTGATGATTTGATACAAGTGTATATTGTGAGATGTTTACCACAGTAAGGCCTGCGCCTCACGTAATTATCATTTTTTGTTGTTATGGTGAGAACATTAAAGCTCTGCTCTCATAGCATCTTTCCAGTATATAGTATGGTATTGTTAGCTATAGTCAACCTTGCTGTACCTTAGATCCCCAGAACTTACTCATCTGAACTGAAAGTTTGTACCTGTTGACCAGCATCTCACCATATCCCCTACCCCTCATCTCCTGCCCAACACCATTCCACTCTTTCTATGAGTTTGATGTTTTTAGATTTTACACAGACGTGAGATCATACAGTATTTATCTCTTTCTGTCTGATTTATTTAATTTAGCATAATGCCCTCAAGGTCCATCCTGTTATCACAAATGACAGGCTTTCCTTCTTTTTTAAGGCTGAATAATTTGTTATATTTATATACCACATTTTCTTTATCCTCTCATCCACTGGTAAATACTTAGGTTGTTTCCATGTGTTGGCTTTTATGAGTAATACTACAATAAACACAGAGGTACCATTAAATATTTGAGATAGTTACTTCGTTTTCTTTGAATATATACCTAGAAGTGGGAAGGCTGGATCATAGAGTAGTTTTCTTTTTAATTTTTTGTGGAACCTCCATACTGTTTTCCATAGTGGCTCTACCAATTTACATTTCCTGCCAGCAGTGCACCAGGATTCCCTTTTCTCCATATCCTGGCCAGCATTTGTTATCTCTTAGTTTTTTGAAAATACTCATTCTAACAGGTGTGAGGTGACATCTCTTTGTGGTTTTTATTTGCATTTTCCTGATGTTTAGTGATATTAAATACTTCTTTGTATACTTGCTGGGCATTTGTTGTTGTTTGTTTATTTATTTGAGAGAGAGAGAGCTGAGCAGGGAGCCCGATTCAGGGTTTGATCCCAGGACCCTGAGATCATGACCTGAGCCAAACTCAGTCTTAACCGACTAAGCCACCCAGGCACCCCTTGCTGCTGGACATTTGTATGTCTTCTTTGGAGAAATGTCTATTCAAGTCTTCTACCTATTTTTTAATCAGATTTTTTTGTTTGCTAATGAGTTATATTCCTTATATTTTGGATATTAATCCCTTACCAGATAGAAGGTTGGCAGATGTTCTCTCCCATTCTGTAGGTGGCCTTGTCATTTTGTTGATTGTTTCTTTTGTTCTACAGAAACTTTTTGGTTTGATGTAGTTCCACTTGTTGATTTTTGCTTTTGATGTTTGTACTTTGGTGTCATATCCAATCATTGCCAAGGCCATTGTCAAGGAGCTTTTTCTCCTATGTTTTCTTCTGGGAGTTTTATGTTTTCAAATCTTGTATTTAAGTCCTTAATCCATTTTGACTTAGTTTTTGTGAGCGGTATAAGATAGGGGTCCAGGTTCATTCTTTTGCATGTGAATATCCAGTTATCCCAACACCATTTATTGAAGAGACTATCCTATCCCCATTGAGTATTCTTGGCTCATCAAGACCTTTTCTTATACAGCTAGGCAGATAGCTTCCTAGATAACAGTTCTTCCTCCTAATAGCATTCATGAGGTTAAGGGAAGTCCTTAACCCACTGAAGGTTGGACCCACTTGCATGCTAGGTCTGTGCAGTAGCTCCTGCAGAACTTGAAGGAGCTTCTCAGAGCTGAGATGTATATGTATGTGTGTGATGATGTAGGGGAGGTGTTGGAGGAGACTGCCATTGGGGGTCACATGGAACTAGACCTATTTAGTAATGCTGGAGGGGCAACTTACTTTGGCTGAGGAGTCACTATACTCATAGCTACTGAGAGAATGAAGAAGAGGGGCTAGCATCCTTATGTCTCCTATACTGACCAAACTTATATTATGCCCTGGAGCTGGGGAGAGAAGTTCTCTGGGATGGACTGTTTGTGTATAAGGACCTCCCAACAGTCACCCCTCTGAAAGAACATGGGCAGTCTTGTGGAAGACAGGCTCTAGGAAAAGAAGGGTACCTGATTCTAAAGGGGTATGGGGAGGGCAAGAGAAAGAGGGAGATTGGAGACATTCTCCATATTCTACTCTGATTCTCACTGTCTCCTCTGGAACAAGAAACAGGAACTACCTCCAGAGGAACAAGGACCCAGCATTCGGAACCTGGATTTTTGGCCCAAACTCATCACACTCATTGTGTCAATCATAGAGGAAGATAAGAATTCCTACACACTCATTCTGAACCAGTGCGTATCAACCCACTTGGCCCTGTGTGGTTGGTGGTTGGCTTGTCCATCTGTCTAACAGCCTCTTTCTTTCCTATCTCTGTGTGTTTGCAGTGCCACCTCTTCCTCCTGTACGTCCATCTGTCCCTCTGTCCCTTGTATCTGTCTGAGTAACTGTTTCTGGAGACAGGTGTGGAAACATAATGGGGGGCCCTACCTAGACTGAGCCAGCCTCCCTGGAGTGAGAGGCTCCTGGGAATGGCTGCCATAAGAGTCCCAGGGGATCCAGAGATCATGTGTGTATGTGTCTGTCCACTGTGAATAAAGTGGGCTTTCTGATGCCTACCTCTTTGCACTTTTTTGTCCACCTTCTTTAGCCTGGGCCTGCCTTCTAGCCTCAACCCTTCTCCTCTGGGCCTCAAATCCCTGCCTTCTGGGCATCCTCTTCCCTGGGCCCACCTTGCCTGAAGGGATCCCCTGCCCCCACTTGTCCTTCCACTGGCTCCTGGGTCCCTTTTCTCCAAAATGAGCCTAGTCCTGTTTCCTAGGCTTCTCCTCTCTCCTACCTGACCTCTAAGAGATTAGGCACATTAGCTTTGGAATCAGTCAAATCAAAAAGCTCTTGCTTTGTTCTCTGACTGTGGCTTCTTCCGTCATCCAGGTTTCCTCAAGAGTTGAATGTGGGAAAAGTCAGCGCGGAAGTGATGTGGCAGCTCTTTGCCCAAGACATGAAATATGCTCTGGAGGGTAAGGTGTGCCCAAGGCAGTGGGCTGTAGGCCTCTACTCCAAGCACCTTGTTTGCTGTCCCTTTCCTTTCCCAGACAATTATAAGTTCTGGGTGAATGGTATGGTGAGAAACCAGAGGGATTCTAGGCTGACGTGTCAGGAGTCCTTAGGTAGGCATAGGTTCAGCCAGAGTAATAATGGAAATGGCTGTGTGGATGTGGATTTCCCCTTCTAGCTTTAGAGCAAGTGCCTGTTTAAGACTTTCCGTAGCCCAAAAATCAACTCATCCCATGCTGGGTATCCTCAAGTGGCCCACTTCCTGGAGTATGAATGGTCTTGTGAAGTTTGTCTTTACAGTTTTAAAGAATCGTAGAACCTTAAATACACAGATAGGATTATTTGCTTTTATTAGAGACTGCCTGACCTGGCTTTCCTAAAAAGCTGTTCTGGAGCCAGAAAGATACTTTTTCCCTACCTTCTCCTATAAAGCAACGTCATGGACAAATTACTATTCATCTTTTTCATTCAGCTTATTCTTTTATTCATTTCCTGCTTTGGTTCACAAAGATATCACTGTCTGCCTGTATCCAACTTTCCAATTTGTACCCTTCTGTGTTCACTCATTTAGCTGCCTTTCCTGTTGTTTATATGTTAGTTTGTCTCCTCAGTTTGTGCAAGTGGACCTACAAGGAAAGGGAGCAGTCCGGGGCAAGGACAAATCAGAGTCTGGATCTGTTATTTTGATGGAGTGGCAGGGAAAATGGGTAACCCTCAGACTTAAACTTCTGAGGTTTAGGAGTAGTAAGTTTTGAGGCTGAAAGAAACCTTGAAGATCTGTATTAAGTTTGAGACAGACAGAGACTGTGCATGCACATTCTGCAATTCTGCCCCAGAGCGATGGCTGCCTCTTTCCCACACTGGGTCAAGCTTGGGGCTGTAGCCCAGGGCTTAGCCTTGCAGGCCAGTGAGGAAGTCACTTGTCCCCTCTCCCGGTAGCACTCAGCAAGCCTAACGGGGGGAGTATGGTCCAAGTTCTTGAAGAATCCCAGCTCTGATGGGTTTTGCGGGGGGGGGAAAAGATACATACCTGTGAAAAAATCAGTTTCACAAAAGGGATAGTATGAGGTGGGGCAGCGTTTTTCAAACAGCGGTATCTTAGGAGCTAAGAGAAAAGGGAATAGTCAGGTAGGGGGAAAGGGTTGCTGGGCTTCAGGCCTTTCATCTGGTGCCAGTTAAGTCAGTTCTGCTTTTATCAATCTTATATGGGGTTCTAGGTGAGATTTCTTTTGAAAGGGGAGTTCTGCTAATGTTTACAACAAACACAAAAGGATTGAAAACTGCTTTAAAGAAAGAAATAATGTTGACCTGGTTGCAAATCTCACTTTCACCACCTAATCAGCAGTGTGTTCTTAGACCAATATTTGTGAGCTTGTATTTTCTTATCCGTAAAATGGGAATGATAATAGCATGTTTCATTGAGCTGATAAAGTAATGTGTAACATACTTAGCATACTGCTTGGCATTTACTTGGCACTGAATAAATCTTATTAAGGACAATAAGAAACCGCATAGGCTCATGAGCAGAGATGCAGTGTGAGCATAGTAGCTTTTTTTTTTTTTTTTTTGAGAGAGAGTGCACATGAGAGCGAGAGCTTGAGAGCTTGTGAGTGGGTGAGGAGGGGCAGAGGGAGAAAAAGAATCTTAAGCAGCTTCCACACCCAATGCAGAGCCCAATGAGGGCTCGATCTCACAACCCTGAGATCATGACCTGAGCTAAAACCAAGAGTCAGACACTTAACCAGCTGAGTCAAGGGGCACCCTGCAAAGTAGCATTTTTTTTTTAATTTAAATTCAATTAGCCAAGGTATAGTACATCATTGGTTTTTGATATAATGTTCATTGATTCATTAGTTGAGTATATCACCCAACATTTTTATAAGATTTCACATCAGGGGAAAATGGGGCAGCTAGAACAAGGAGAGACTAGAAGCAGGGACTGCAGATAATGGTATAGTAATTTAGGGCTGAAAGGATGGGGTTAGAGCAGAGAATTGGAGAGGGAAGAATGGCTTTTGATAGCCACTGGAAGGAAGTTGTAACAGGACTTCATGACTGTCAATATGGAGGCCAAGACAAGGGGAGGAGTTTGGAGACATGGATGATAAAAGGATAGCGTTGACTCCAACTGTGAAAATGGTATCTTTCACCCAATTTTTTTAAGTCAGTTTTACTGAGGTATAATTTACATACATAAAATAAAAACACTCTAAGAGTATAATTTGATGATTTTGACAAATATACATACTTGTGTAACCACTATCCTAATTAAAATATAGAACAGAAAGTTTCTTCATGCCTTTTTGCAGTAGATCCTCAGCCCATTCACTAAGTGCTTTTTAAGTATTTTCTATATGTCAGGCACTGTGCTAATTGTTGGAACCCCAATGAGATGAATGAGGCATAGACCCAGCCCTTTGAGAAGCTCACACACCAGTCTAGACAACAGACATATAAGTTGGCAGTTCCAGTTCAAAGTTATAAGTGCCACAAAAGGAATAAGGTGCTGAGAGGAGAAGAGTGTAATCCACACCTGTGAAGGCTTCTAGGAGGACCTGAGGAAAGGACCTGGGAACACTTCCTGGAGGAGATGATATACAAACTGAAACCTGAAGGATGGGAGGACTTAGCCAGTGGGGAAGGGAGGTAGTAGTGATGGGAAAAGGAGACCTAGAACATGTTAGGCAGAGGATACAGTATGTTCAGAGATGTGGAGTCTAGAAAGAGCTGTCATGCTTGGGGAACTGGAAGCAGTAGTTCAATGTGACTAGCACGTTAGAGTGTAGGGGGAAGAGATAAATAGGAAGAGTGTAGGGGGAAGAGATAAGTAGATGAAGATAGAAAAGTAGGGCAGCCAGATCATAAAGGAGGTGGTAAGCCATGTTTAAGCTTTTGGACTCCATCCTAAGGCAGTTTGGAGCCACTGAACAGCAATCCCATGTTAAGCAGGGGATTGACATGATCAGGTGTATAATGTGGAAAGGCCACTCACTGTGGCTATGGTGTGGAAAATGGTTTGGGGGAAGGAAGACCAGGTTGGAGACTATTACTGTAATCCACGTTAAAGGTGGTGGGAACAAGACCTAGGCAGATGACTGTGTAAAATGGATAGATTCCAGAGAAATTTTGGAGGTGAAATCAATAGGGATTGGTGATTTAACTGGATGTGAATAAAGAGGAAGAAAGACTTGAGGATGATGCTCAGCATGAGCAAGAGGCTATGATTAGTGTGTGTACTCAGTTCAGCTTCAGCTGGAGATGTTAAATGGCGAAAGATGGGGACTAGAGTTAAACTCTGGCCAAGTGAGATGTTCCATCAAAGTCTTAGAGACAGTACCAGAACCAAAGAGAGATTTGGGGGAGATAGCAGTAAGCTGGATAATTGAAATCATGAGGTTGAAAGAACTCTTCAAAGATGAAAGATGCATGGAAGGAAGAATGTGGAAATCAGGGGCAGGGAAAGATTTAGAGAGTTGATTGCCCCTTTCGAGAGATTAACCATCCCTGTACTTCTACCCCGCAACAAAAACCTCAAGCAACTTTACTGGAGCATGACTCCATGGGACTTGTTAGAATAAAGTGTGACCAGTGTTTCAGCAGTCATCCTGTTAGTTTCTGTATCACAGAAGTTAATATAGAAATTGAGGTTTGGGATCAGAGTACAGATAATGGATTGACAGAGAAAGGGAGAATTATATAAATACAGTAACTTAAAGGTCCCTAGAAGAAAGCAGTTAGGGAGTTTTGGAGTGATGGAGCAGTACTGTCTCCACTTCTAGTGGGTTACTTAATAGGAAGGAAGGAGAGCCCTCCTCATGGTACCTTTTTATGTCTCTAGGTTCATGGACTGGTTTAAGGATAGCAGAGTGTGGGGTGGAAGAGAAGGGGCAAGCCCTGAGAAGTCTCTCTGATGTCCCCAGAAGTGGTGCTGCCTGCTGTGCCAGGAGATGAAATTTCCTGGCACTGAGAGCCTTTTGAGGCTGAATCCCAGGCTCCTATTTCCTCCTCAAGTGTCTGTTGTACTAATTCACAAGGGCCAACTGCCACAGATTGGATTTCTGTCTTGATGTGGAGGAGCATCACCCATAGCAACTCAAAGTTAAACAGTAGAGGTCACAAGGACCCTGACCTTCCTTTCTCTGTCGCTGAGTACTCTTCCCCATTTACCTGCTTTTTCCATTATGTTATATATAAGCACACAGTTGGCTTTTGTTATTTCAAATTAATGCTTTATCTATAAAAGGGGTAGATGAATGGTGGTTGTGGCCATTGCTCCAGGCATTCTGGGCAGGGGTGATGTTTGTCCTGGATTCTCCAGGAGGCTCTGGAGATCCAGCTAGATGACCTTAAAAGTCCATAATAAGCATCCCAGTTTTTACAGCATGATAGCCCCTTCATCTGGCTGTGTTTCCATGGTTTCCAAACTGACTATTCAGGTTTGCATACTTCTTGGAGAGTTCATTTTCTGTGTCTCCACTGTGTTCTGGGGCACTTCAGTTTACCTCAAGATGTTGTTACACTCTGGCTGCTTAACTGCACTTTCTATCAGCTTGGGCTCACTTTGGTTTTCCCTATCTCTGTGTAGTTTTCATTGACTCATTCATGCCGTGTATAGCTGCTCATCACTGCATTTAAGCCTATCTGATGGAATGGCCCAGCTACTAGGATTAGAGAAGTTCTAGGAAACCACCATCCCTTTCTAGTCCTGGGCAGTCTCCCCACTAATCAACATTAGCACCCACATCCCTTTCTCCTCTTTTTCACTAGCAGCCAGTAGCTCAGTTGACACTTCCAGAAGATAGAGCAAGAAGACTATTGACCCTGTCTGAGAGTTTGGCTTAGTCTCTAAAAGAAGATTTGGGCCAGGCTCTTGGAGAGCAGAGTACTGGTAGGGGGAGATGGTTGTGAGGAAGTGGTTGGGAGTCACCCTTGTTCTAGACATCTGATAGAGCTGCCTGACCAGATCTGCTGCTTTGGGAAAGCTCAGAAACCATGGCCTCTACTGTTGGGACCTGACTCAGCCTTCTTCCCCACCACTAGAGCATGAGAAAGACCGGCTGTGTAAGAGTGCTGACTACATGAACCTACACTTCAAGGTGAAGTGGCTTCACAATGAATATGTGCGAGATCTGCCTGCCCTCCAGGGACAGGTGCCTGAGTACCCAGTGTGAGTCATCATGTGGGCACACACAGGGAAGGGAAGGGGGTCCCTCCATCTTAGGGGGTGGGCAGGACCTGTGTCTTCAGTTCAGTTTAGCAAGCAAGTCTTTAGACTGCCAGTTCTGGGCTCTTTTGTAAAAAGAGAAAAGCATCAAACTGTGCCCTATCTTCCCAAAGACCCTAGTCTGGGGGAGCTGTTAGGCACATGGCATATGCCAACCACTGGCTCCCCAATTTTCCTGCCTGGCTGTAGGTGGTTTGAGCAGTTTGTCCTGCAGTGGCTGAATGAAAATGAGGACGTGTCCCTGGAATTCCTGCGTGGGGCCCTGGAACGAGATAAGAAGGATGGGGTAAGTTGGAGGCTTGGACTGCACAGGGGTCAGGCCAGGTGTCCCAGCAATTAGCTGCCAGCAAAAGTTCCAGGGCTTTAGTTTCTTCCCTGTGGAATTCATAAGGAGGACTTTTGAGGGCCAGAGAGCCACAACTGCTGGGCAGAGCCCTTTTGAACCCTACAAACTTGGGAAAAGGTAGTGGCTGAAGATGATCCTGTTGTTGGCCTTCCGTAGTTCCAGCAGACATCAGAACATGCACTCTTTTCCTGCTCTGTGGTGGATGTCTTCACACAGCTCAACCAGAGCTTTGAGATCATCCGGAAGCTGGAATGCCCAGACCCCAACATCCTTGCCCACTACATGAGGAGATTTGCTAAGGTGACCATGACCCTCCCTTCTCCCTTCCATGTGCCTTTACCATGCTCACAGCCTCATCACAGGCCCAAGCTCAGTTCCTCTTTGTGGTGACCTAAAGTCTGGCATCACCCCATTCTCATTTGCTTGTGTCTGGGGCAGACTGGTGGGTTTATCTTGGTGTTGTTCTGAGGTTGAGAGGGAGCTTTGTCCCTTACTGTGAGATTCCCCTGTACCTCCCTGCTGTTGTTGTTCTGGGATGACAGGTATGACCTCAGGCAAGATCCCTGTAGGGAGAGCTAAGGGTTACCTCTCCTTTCCTTTTTTTTTTTTTTCAGACCATCGGGAAGGTGCTGATGCAGTATGCAAACATCTTATCAAAGAGCTTCCCAGATTATTGCACAAAGGAGAAAATGGTGAGGGTCAGGCCCTGGGACCCTAGAGAAGAGAGTGGAAGACATTTGAATCCTTGCTTTTGAGGCTATCCTCAGAGCTGAGGGTGGGGGTGATGCTCCTGACTTGATTCCCAGTAGGGCTTCTCTTGAGATTATGACACAAAATAATAAGAACTTGACTAGGAGTTCCTCTGAGCCTCCATTTTGGAACTTTTATTTTCTACTAAGCTAGAGCTTTACTTAATCTTTCTTTTTTAATAAAAAAAAAAAGACATTCAAAGAGTTAAAAGGATAATACCGTGAACACCTGAGGCCCACCACCCAGCTTAAAAACAGAAACATTTGTTTCTAGTCTTCATTCAAGGAGAACTGTCTAAATTGGTTCCAGATCTCAGTGTTTAGGAAGAGATGCATATGTGTTGTAAATTTCCTGTGGTTTTTGGAGTAGTGTGAGAGAGGTACCCTAGGCTGACAGGTCCTGTGTGGAAAGGAGTCAAGACTCAACCGCTCCATCTGTCCCCAAAGCCCTGCATCCTGATGAACAACATGCAGCAACTGAGGGTCCAGCTGGAGAAAATGTTTGAGGCCATGGGAGGCAAGGAGGTAGGTCTCAGGGTGTGGGGTTGCTGCACTTTCCCTTTGTTCCTGAGCCCCCTGGTCATAGAACTCTATCCTCTCCTGACTAGGTATACGTCAGCAATTTAGCTTAGGGTCTGGGCTGGTTTAAGCTGAGGGATTTAAGTAGGCATTGGGGTAAAGGCCCTCTGAGGGAGGGGTTAAGGGCCCAGGAGGGGAGAAAAGTGTACAAAAACCAACTCAGCTGAGCACACTTTCTGTGGATACAGTTGGACCCTGAAGCTGCAGACAGTTTGAAGGAGCTGCAGGTGAAACTGAATACAGTTCTGGATGAGCTCAGCATGGTATTTGGAAACAGGTCAGTGGCCCCAAACACACAGCCGTAAGAGCCAGGTGTGGCCCCTGGCCATTCGCAAAGCCCGTGCCCCCTACCCTCCATCCAGCTGCAGGTGTGTGGATCTTCCCTCTCCTCCTGTTGGCTGTCCCTGTTGGAGCTGCACCAGGAGTATGCTAGAGTGGGACGGAATAGCTGGTGCTGCTCCAAGGACAGTGTCTATTTGGGCGGGGGAGGGCTGCACTGCAGGCACGTGTGTAGTTTTCAGGTGCGGATTGATGAGTGTGTTCGACAAATGGCTGACATCCTGGGCCAGGTGCGGGGCCCAGGGAATGCATCCCCCAACGCCAGGGCCTCGGTGGCACAGGATGCAGACAGTGTGCTCCGGCCTCTCATGGACTTCCTGGATGGCAAGTGAGTACAGTGCTTGACTGTCCTATGGGATAGGCAAAGCAGAGGCAATCAGATGGAGAAACCTGTCAGGGAAGGGGGCTCTCAAACTCTCACTCTAGTCTTACCTGTTCCTTGGGCCTACAGCCTCACACTCTTTGCCACTGTGTGTGAGAAGACAGTCCTGAAGCGTGTACTGAAGGAGCTCTGGCGAGTGGTAATGAACACAATGGAAAGGATGATTGTTCTACCCCCACTCACTGACCAGACAGTAAGGACACTCCCCTTCCACTTCCTCTGGCTGTCTCCCCTGTCTTGCCCCACACTTCCTGATCGAGTTTGGAGTCCTCTGCTTTTGACCGATCCCCTCTCTGCCCAGGGCACCCAGCTGATCTTCACTGCTGCCAAGGAGCTGAGCCATATTTCCAAACTCAAGGTACTGTGGAGTTATGGGATCCTTCTGAGGCTAGGGGTGACAGGGTGCCAGGAGGAAGGAAATTTGAGCTTTGGAGACAGAAGAGGAAGAGAATGAGAGGAACATGTAGTGTGAGTCGGTGGGTGGGGGAAAGACTGTCATGACAGCCCCAAGCTGTCCTGATGCTGTTGCTTTCTCTGGGTTTCCAGGACCACATGGTACGAGAGGAAACCCGGAGTCTCACTCCAAAGCAGTGTGCCATCCTTGACCTTGCTCTGGACACCATCAAGGTGGAGACCTCCCCTTTCTCCAGACAGTCCTACTACCCTACCTCAGTCACACTACCTCATGGCCCTGGCATTCCACTCTGCCAGACTGATGTCCCCTGGGCTCTTGCCACCCCATATCCAGAAGGGAGTGATTTTTTTATGTCTGTTTCTTTCTCTGCTATGTCCATATTTCTGCTTGGGAGCAACCAAAAGTTACCTCCTTTATGGTCTCAGATTACCACAGACCCAGAGCACTTATTCCTGGGTTTTGAGTACAGTTCAGTTTACTTAGTTCCTCGTTGCCATTCCTGAATATTTTCCACTGGGAATTAATCTTCCAGATCCTCATACCCCAGATCTAGCAGAAATTTCCCTCTTCCACTTATATATAAATTCATTTGGGTTTTCTACTACCCATTCCTTCACTCAACCAGGCAACATATGCCCATGGCACTGTGCACTATGAAGGATACAGAGAGAATCAGATATAGTTCCTAGATTTAAGATCCTTATAATTTGGTAAGGCTGTAATAAGGCAGGTACACATGAACCGTGATGCAGGGCACTTGAAAGAGGTTTGTCATAAGTATAATGTTCTCTAAGAGTTCAGAGGGGTAAAAGAGCACTTCTGGCTACTCTCTCTGCCTGAAATGCTTCTATTCCCATATCTTTGCTTCTCTGGATACATCCATACTTCATAGACCTGCATCCAGGAATGTGGTCATCCCTTACTGCTCCTACCCAAATAATACTCTTCACCTGAGAGATTGTGACTCTTATGTGGTATTCCTTATCTTGTTTATTGAATGGCTTATTGTCCTCACCATCTTCTTTTGGCATCTTCACTGAGCTTCTGCTCAGATGTGATTTCTCTGAGGACAGTGTAGAAAGCTGCCTCTCTGTAAGGGGAGAAGGCTGTAGCAGGTATTCTTTTGTCTTTCAGCAATACTTTCATGCTGGAGGTAATGGGCTGAAGAAAACCTTCCTGGAGAAGAGCCCAGATCTGCAGTCCCTACGCTATGCCCTGTCTCTGTACACACAGACCACAGACACACTCATCAAAACCTTTGTGCGCTCACAGACTGCCCAGGGTAAGGCCTAAGAACTTTGGATGCCTATCTCTACTCCTTGATACATTTCTGCCTCTAGGGAGTCAATATCTTCCAGCCCTTAAGGAGGATATAGGTACTTCTTCAGAGAGCCTATCAAATTCAGATCCCAGGATTTCTTGAGGGACCCCAGTGCTCACCCCCACACCATACCCATACCAGACAGGAAAATCACAGGGACCTGGGAAATGTGCCTGAGATTCTTTTCCCAGATATTGCCCTGCTAGTGCATGTTTATCAAGGAGTATACCCTGTCTGTTAGGAAGTATCTGTCAGGAAGCCTTGAGAATGCATGGGTGAGACACTGATGAAAACTGATAGCTTTGGGAATCTTGTTGGAAGTTGTCCTGGGGGGAGAAAGGCAAAAGACTACAGATTGGTGTGGATGAGGAAAAAGACTAGGAGAGTCAAACTATGGGAGCAATTGAAGAGAGGATATGGATCATGGGGCTCTGTGCATATCTGAGGTTCCAGCCTCATGGGTGATGCTAATGCATAGGGACCCAGGCAGCTGGTTTTCTCCCAGGGACTTCCAGTCCTTAGAACCCCTCCCTGTCTTAGGCAGGCCTCTCTATAACAAAACACATCCATCTAGATATGGTTCAGACTGAAATTCTGCCCGGGGCCCTGTGAAATTCTGCCCCTAGCCCTGGAGCAGGGCCCTCCCAGGAAAGACTTTCAGGCACATTTGTTATTTCTTCTTCCGGGAAACGCGGGTGTGATGCCTGGAGGAATGAATCTGATGGCGGGAGTGGGAGGATTTAGGCCTTCCTGAGCTGTGGATTCAGAGCACAGAGCTGACCTCAAGGGGAAGAGGGATAGACTAGAGTTGAGGGAAGGTGAAAAGATGCAAGGGACTTGCTCCATTTTCCACATCTGTTCTTTTTTTTTTTCCCCACATCTGTTCTTATTTCAAGTCCAGGATGGGAAGAAGAGAGAGCAAAGAAGTTATGAACCTTGCTCAAGGGAACAGGGAGATCTTTTACAGAGCTGTACATGGAAAGACCTGTAACATCAGGGGAGGATCTGAGTTAATCCAGAAAGGCTTTTTAGAAATCCTGAACTTTAGGCTATAAGTAAAGATGAGGAAAGGCTGAAATGGGTACATATGTGGTAAGAGCAAGGGTGGATACTGCAGGGAGGATCCGAGTGTGTGTGTGTACCTTTTGTACCCATTGCTTTATCAGTTAAGGCCTAGGAAATTAGAGCCTACAATGGCTCTCTTTCCTGGCCTGATGGTCTCAAATACCTTCTCTCTGTATGTTCTTTTGCTTTTCCCCCCATGATCTGGTTGACCTTTGACCCATGAAGTTTAATTTGTAGCACTGGGGCATTGACCCCAGCTCTTTGACCTCTCTTCACCTCATCTCTGTGCTCCATCAAAATATGTGTAGAGTTGCTCCGAATGGCTGTTAACTCCTTGACCTCTAACTGATTCTTCTTTCTCTGTCCTGCTGCTGCTACTACTTCTTGACTTGCCTGTTCTCACTCAGTGCATGATGGGAAAGGTATTAGGTTTACAGCTAATGAGGACATTCGGCCGGAAAAGGGTATGTTGTATACCTTGCACATGTGAATCTAACATAAGCTAACACTGTTCCCTATGAACTAGAATGAACTGCTTAGGCTGGCGGTAGGGGAGCTATGTGTCAAAGTCTAGAAGCTTTATCCCAAGTCTCAGAGATGAGCAATGTATTCATACAGTCTGAGATGGGGTTGCAGTAGTTCCATCCTCAGGATTCCCCCACCCCTCCACTTGCGGACAAAGTTTTACCTGGGTTGCAGGGTACTGGTATTTTCCCAAAATAGTGATACCTCTGCTGAAGGGAGCCTACAAACTGGCCAGAGACGGGTGCCTGGGTGGCTCAGTCGTTAGGCGTCTGCCTTCAGCTCGGGTTGTGATCCCAGTGTCCTGGGATCGAGCCCCGCATTGGGCTCCCTGCTCCACAGGAGGCCTGCTTCTCCCTCTCCCACTCCCCCTGCCTGTGTTCTCTCTCTCGCTGTGTCTCTCTCTGTCAAATAAATAAATAAAATCTTAAAAAAAAAAAGAAAAAAAACTGGCCAGAGATTGGGACTGGGAAGTCGCTTGTAGAGGGGTCCAGGTGTGAATAGGACAAAGTCTGAGCAGGGCAGCCTCCCAACCAGGGGCCTCCTGGAATCTGAGGATAAGTGGGAGAGTAGAGAGTATTACCTTTGGCTAGAAGGGACCCACATTGTTCCATTGAGACACCATGGGGTGGACACAATTCCCAGACAAAGATACAAGGTGGCAGTACTGTCCTTCTCTCTAATGTCTTTCAGTGAAAAATTCTTCAGCCTAGGAGATAAGAGAGGTTTGGGGAACCTGAAAGATTCCTGGTGCATTTTTGGAACATTTCACCTGAGATGTTGTCAGCCTAATGTATTTTAATACACAGCTTCATTCTTTATCCCCTTGCTTTCCCTTCTCCCATTGCTTACTTCTCCATGGCTACTTTGGGTGATTGCTTCAGGCTTTAGGGTGTAAGGTGGTGGCCTCCTAACTCCTCAGTTTTACCTGGGATAATTAGGCCTGAAGTCTTAAGAGTTCTTCAGTGAGGGATCAACTGATCATCTGTCCTTCAGGGTCTGGTGTGGATGATCCTGTGGGAGAAGTCTCTATTCAGGTGGACTTGTTTACACATCCTGGAACTGGGGAGCACAAGGTCACAGTGAAAGGTGAGTGGCACAGACTTACAGGTCTCAGACCTTTTCTTATGCAGTGGCCTCATCGGTTGAAGGCAGGGGCTGCTTTATCTCAGTCCTCCGACTTAGCCCTCCTCCAAGGGGAATGCCACCTGGGAACACTTGGTGGAATCCCTCACAGGCTTCCTTTGTTTGGGCAGTGGTAGCTGCCAATGACCTCAAGTGGCAGACAGCAGGTATGTTCCGGCCCTTTGTGGAAGTGACCATGATTGGCCCACACCAAAGTGACAAGAAGAGGAAGTTCACAACCAAATCAAAGAGCAACAACTGGGCTCCCAAGTACAATGAGACATTTCACTTGTGAGTTATGGGGTTAGGGAACCTGCAGGACTCTGGGATGGGGGTGAGCAGGGGCATAAGACTTGGGAGGGGAGAGATGGGTTGGATGGTGGCTGGGGTGAATTCAGTTGAAGACTCTTTCAGCTCTGGCCTCCTCCCTTTCACCCACCTTGTGCTCACAGCCTCCTGGGAAATGAAGAGGGACCAGAAGCCTATGAATTGCAAATATGTGTGAAAGATTACTGCTTTGCCCGTGAGGATCGTGTTCTGGGGCTGGCTGTGATGCCTCTGAGGGATGTGGCAGCCAAAGGCAGCTGTGCTTGCTGGTGCCCCTTGGGCCGGAAGATCCACATGGATGAGACAGGCATGACTATTCTCCGGATTCTATCTCAGAGGAGCAATGACGAAGTGGCTCGAGAGTTTGTGAAGCTCAAATCGGAGTCTCGTTCCATAGAAGAGGGAAGCTGAGCACCTAGGTTCCTGTGCCAACCAGATGGCATCAGTTCCACAAGTCATGGCCAGTGAGAGTTACTATGTAGCCAGCTTAGGATCCTCATAGTTGAGAGGCTGACTCCTTCAGTTTAAGGAAATTAAAGGAAAAATTGGGGGTGGTAAGAGAATGGCTTTTCACAGAAAGGGTCATGAATCCCTCCCTGACCAGCAGGTCTGTGGTGCTAGGAACTGGGCTGTGGGGGTTACTGCATAAGGAGGTTTTCCATAAAGGGAGGGACAGACATTGATGAGAGTGTCATTCATTCTTGGTAGACACTCCTTCACCCCACACCCCATCTCCACCCCTCTCCATGCCATACCTTATCCAGCTAGACCCATACATATCAACCATTAGAAGAACAAGTTTAGAGAGCTTGGAGCATGTACCTGGTTAGCTAAATAGTCAGTTGAGCATCCAGGTGTTGCTGAGCCCTATAGTCTGGATTGGAGTATGGCCAGGGCAGGAACATACAGAATAGAATTTAGACTCTCCCTTAAGCAGGATCCACTGGTTTTGGGTGGCTCCATGAAAACAAGGCTTTGAGACTGAACAAGATACCTTCTAGAAATGAGCTGTGCTAATCTTTTCCCCCAAATTATATGTCATGAGTAGAATGAGGTTCACATGATACTTCAGAGCCCTGAGCAGAATATTCTTTGGAACGCAAGCACCAGAGGCCACCTGCCCAGGAGTCCCCCTCCCTCATTCCTGTAGGAAGGGGAGCAATGATATTTCAGGACATGAGAGGCTATTCCTTTGTGTATGCACCTGAGGGCTAGTTGAAGGATCCAGGAGAGAGGGCTGTATTTTCTTCTTGGGCAGGCTCTGAACAAAGCCAAAAATTGTAGAAACCAGTCTAGAAGGAGTCCTCCTCACCTATGGCTACTGCCTTCTGGTTGTCCTCTCCTTTGCGGAAAGAATCTAGTCTTTGGCCTCACTCCCCTTCATCTAGGTCAGCTGCTCTTCCCCTCACAGATATTCAGTCCTACAGAAGGAGCTTAGCCTATGGTCCCTCTGTACAGGCTGGATGGAGGAGGCATCAACATTCCTTGGGAAGTCAGAGACAAACTTTTAGGAGGTTGTATGGACTTCTCAGGTCCTTGATCAGAGATGTGACATGGTTCTTGGATATCCTTGGTAGCAGCCTCCTGGACCTCCTGAGGACTCTGTGTTATCCACAGCTGTACTGGCCATTACATGTAACAAGAAACTAAGCATCTTTGCTGTTGTTAATTATTGTACGTGCCATTGTTACAGGACATTTTTGGCTAGTCTGTAATAAATTATAGCAGCCTTTGGGGTCTGGTAATTCTTTTAAGGTGTGGAAAGCTGTAGAAATGACTATCCTGTATAATCCTGTATAACAGTAAATTTTGTACCTGGCACTTGCTGCCTCATCCCCCCAGCAAGTGATGGAACCTAAAGCAACTCTGGATAAGCACCATGCAGTAAAGCAGGTAATGGGCTAGCATCTTGGCCTTGACCTGAGACTACCAATCCAGTTAACAGAGTCATGGGACCCAAGGTATCAGCTTCCTGCAGAACGTCCAGATGTCATGTGCTAGTAAGGGTGTGCCTCTGGGGATTGGTAGGAGGCTGAGGCTGTCATGTACAGGACAGAGAAGTAGTCCTAGGAGTAGAAACTGGCCTTTCGTTTGGGAAAATTCAAGGAAGGAAAGCTGGAGTAAAAAGTCTCCTCCTATATTGGAAGAAACAAGGTAGAAGTGAGGCCTCTTGGAACGGGAATCAGAGAAGCTGACACAAGAAAGTGCTTACCTAGTTTCTTAGCCCTTGTGGGGTGGGAGCTGAGTGGGAGCACAAGACAGGGGATTAACTCCAGCTTTCCAGTTCATTTCCATTTGCTTGCTAAATAAATCCTTAGAATTCAGTTCCCCAGTCATTTTTAAATTTCCTCCTTCTTCCCCAAGCCATTTGCCCTCTATCATTTCTGCCTTAAACTTTTGTTGAATCCATTGTCTTACCTCAGTTCCCAGTACAAGTGGAATAGTGGCTCTTAGTTCCTCTTGTCTGTATTACTGTGATAATCACCTGCCTCCGTTCTGCCCCTGCCCTCCTCACATACTCTGGTAGGCCTCTCTCCTGTTAAAACTATTAAGTGGTTATCTATCATAGCCTTCGGGTTGAAATTCTAAGACCCTCCAAGACAGTGCAGACATCCCCCCTACCATCCTGTAGCTATTCTAAAGCACTTCCCTGAAGTTACAACCCCATACACACACTGTGCACTCCTACCCCTCTGTGCCTTGGCACATTCTGTTCCCCCTTTTGCTGGAATGGCCTGCAGGCTTTTTCACGGCCTTCTAGGTTCTGGTACTTCGTGGCAGCCTTTAGGACCCAACCAACCCTGAACCCCTTCACAACAGCACTTTACATAGTTACAATTTACTTGTTTGTCTTCCTCAAAAGTCTGTGATCCACCCAAAGGCAGGGTCTGAGTATTTCACTTGTGTACCCCAGCAGCCGGCACAAAGGGCGTTCAGGTACTTAGAGCCAGGCCAACAACTGCAGGACCCCTTCGGGAAACCAAGGCAGGGTGGGGCGGTTGGCGGGCTCCCGAGGAGAGGGGTGTGGTTGGAGGTGGGCTTGCGGGGAAGGGCGTGGTCAGGGGCGGGGCTCTGCTCTAGGCCCAAACCTGGGGCTCTAGGGCGCCTGCGCAGGAAGCGTTAAGATGGAGATCGCTGGAGTTGACGGCTACACTGCAATGGTGAGCAAGAAGCGCCCGAAGGTGGCGCCGGAGGAGAGGTTATTGCCTTCTCCCTCCCAACACTGAAGAGACTAACCCCGTACTACCTGACATTCGTACAGATCTGTGTACTTCCCACTAATACCTGTCTATCCTCATACTTTTCTTGTAAACAGTTCTCCCAATACTCCCCGAGGTTATTGCCCGCTCCCCATACTTGAAGTATACATAAGGGTTTTCCAGACACTCCAGAGAAGATCTATTTGCCCAAATACCTAGCAAAGGGGATATTTATTCCCAACTAAATACTTCCCAAAGTGGGACACATTTATCCAGTTACCTAATGAAATAGTTAACCCCAAACCCCTAGCTAAGGCACATTCTATTAACTCTGGAGTTTTTCCACTTCTCCAGCAATATCCAGATTCACCGAGAAAAAGCATAAATCTTCTACCACACTTGACTTGACCGCTATCATTCTCTCATATGGCACAGGAGACCTCCATAAAGAAAAGTCAAACTCTGACTGGGTATCCATGGCTTGCAACAGCCTTGCGAGTTTGAATTAGTAGCTATTTAAAACCAGATTTCACATTTAAAAAATGCAGATTTCCAGCTTTTTTTTTTTTTAAAGGAAGATCTGTTAACTTTTAACTCACATTCCCACAAAGCCGCTGGTGGTTGGAACTGAGAAGCAATTGTTAATTTACGATAGTTCATTATAGACTCCATTACTCCTTGTTTATTTACAGTGGGCTTTGCTTTATTTGCCTGGCATCTGGTAGGCATTTGAATTTGTGCCTCTTATGTAGGACTTTGGTTTGGGTCATTTTTTGAGCCAACACTTTGAGCTTTTAATGGAAAGTGAAATCCAAAGGAGATGGCTAATATGTTTAGATTGTTTTGGTTTCTGCAGTGTTCTGATAAGGATCAGAAATCATCCTAATAGCTAAAACCCAGGGTGAAATCTGTACCAAAGTCTTTGTGGTAAGAGAATTCAATCAAAATACTTATAGGTAGCTCTCGTGTATATTTGATCTTGAAGAAAGCCAGTTTTGCCCAGCCCCTCTTTGGTGAGGTCAGGCCAAGGACAAGAGGTTACTTGTTTCTCTTTGAAGACCTGGTTTTGTAAGGGCCTGGCTCTAGTCTGTACAGGAAGTGATGTCTCAAAAGTGCTGTCTCCCTTGTTCCAAAACACACAGATGGTAACCTTCCTTCCTCCCTCAGGAAAATAACAGGCCTCATAATAATCAAGAATGGTGATCATCTGGGGCACCTGGGTGACTCAGTTGGTTAAGTGTCTGCCTTCAGCTTATATAATGATCTCACGGTCCTGGGATCGAGCCCCACATCGGGCTCCCTGCTCAGCAGGAAGCCTGCTTCTCCCTCTCCTGCTCCCCCTGCCTGTCCTCTCTCTCGTTCTCTCTCTCTCTATCAAATAAGTAAATAAAATCTTTTTTTTTAAATATTTGTTTGACAGACAGTGAGAGAGGGAATGCAAGCAGGGGGAGTGGGAGAGGGAGAAGCAGGCTTCCCACTGAACAGGGAGCCGAATGCTGGGTTCGATCCCAGGACCCTGGGATCATGACCTGAGCTGAAGGCAGACGCTTAACAGCTAAGCCCCCCAGGTGCCCCAAATAAATAAAATCTTAAAAAAATGGTAATAATCTGCAGGCTATATCTAATCAGAAGTAGAATAGAAGTGCCTTTAATAATGGATTTTTAAAAAAGATTTATTTATCTTAGAGAACACCAGCGGGAGGGGCACAGGGAGAGAGAATCTCAAGCAGACTCCACGCTGAGAGCAGACCCCATCGTGGGGCTCAATCTCATGACCCTGAGATCAGTCTGAGCAGAAACCAAGAATTCTTTGCTTAACCAACCACCCAGATGCCCCAATAGTGGATTTTTAAAGGAGCAAAATCACTTCTTTGAACACAAGTGTATGATCTACCTATTCATTGTGAATATTCAGACTCACTCCCTAAATGAAACTGTTATACCTAGAAGCAGAATAGCAAAGCTGAAAAAGCCACATGGAATAATGAAAATGGTATTGAAATAGAAGTGAAAAAACATGAATACTGGTATCAGCTCTACTACGTACTAATAAAGGGACCTCGCTTTTTAACTTCTCAGAGGCTCAGTTTCCTGCATCTGTTAAAATAGACTAATAATTCCTCCCATGTCTACCTCAGAGGGAGCAAATGGGCTCATTTAAATGTGAAAGCACTTTGAAAACTATACACTTTCTCTAGGTTATAAGGACTA